AAACGAAGCGTACAGAGCCAAACATTTCTCCACGCGGCGCTCACTTGCACAAAACAAGATCACGTTGTGTAACATTGACCTTTTTAAACATTTAATTGGTAATTTTCTCTGTATTTAGTCTCTTGTAATTTCCGCTAAAACTTAATGAACACACCGAGCCTGCGCCGGGACATTAATTCTGTTCCAGAGATGGCAGCAGCACTAAAAGCGTTTTGGTAATTAGATGGACAAGTCATTTCTCAAGCAATTTTTCTCAATTTGTGATCCCCGTCTCCAAGTGTGACTCAGTTTGACACTTCTTTTTATGACAAAATAATTAAGTTACTCATCCCGCTGAGTTCTCTTGTCTCAGCTCAGACAAATGATCCGTACTGGAGTGTCTTAATTTTATATTTCAGCTTTGTATATTTTGTATATTTGAGTAAATACGCCGCATTATAATGTTGTTTCCTCATCACAAACAGACCTGGAGTTGGGTTTTGTTTCATTCACACTTGTTTAACTCACAAACCCTGGATATTTAGGCTGAGTTTTTCTCTCAAACTTCCCGTTCCACCTTGTGATGTCATGTGGTAATACAGGAAGTGCTCCACTGTGTTTTTAAACTCCATACACCTTCACTAGAATCATCTTCAGCTCAAACTCTTCTGAACTAAAAGTAAAAGGCAGCACGAAAACCACCACATCAAAAGGTGGAACAGAGCATCTTTAAAGGTGCATTATGTAACTTTTTCTAAACTCGTGCTGGTCTCTGTGGAGATGTTGTTGCTTTGGCTGGAATGTTCCACAATATGGCATTATACACGTGATCGAGTCTGGAGCTGTGGAGAAGGCAACCGCGTATTTCTGAGCTAAATTTGATCGGTTTAATGCCATACTGGCGAACATGCACACCAAGTAAAGTTAATTTCCATGGAAACAAACAGATGGCCAACTTCCCCCACTAGCAAACTTTATTGATCCACAGGGGGAAATTATTGGACACAGTAGCTCACACATCACAACATAATATAATAACAAAGAGCAAAAAAATATAAATGGTAATAATAAATTCTAAATAATAAAAAGATGGCAAGAGACAGGTGTCAGATAAGACATAATTATATAAATGTAAATGTAAAAGTAAAAATAAAATAGAAAGATAAGTAATAAAATATAAAATCTCAGCTTTATACAAGAGGTCATAGGAAGACAGTGCAACAATGATGATTGACAGGACATAGGGTTATCTGTAACATAAGGGATGAGTTGTTGTACAGTTGTAGGGAGTATTATCTGTTACAGAAGGGTGAGTTGTACAGTTGTAGGGAGTATCATCTGTTACAGAAGGGTGAGTTGTACAGTTGTAGGGAGTATTATCTATTACATAAAGGTGAGTTGTTGTACAAAGGTCTCCAACATTTTTTCCTCCAGTGAGCTACTTTTACAAAATGAAACTGTCAGAGAGCTCCCTATTTTAGTAGCTGCAAAGAAACTGACCCTAACCCCAGACATAAGTGCCTCGGCAAGCCTTAGACGGGGAACAGTTAGATGGTTATAAAACACTATCCATTTCTCAGTGCATCAATTTAGGCATCAAAATGATACATTTACAATGGCGATTACTCAAATTTTACTTATTCAGCACATACATAGAATCCAAAAATCCCTTGGCGAGCTACTCTGAAGTGGGTGGAGAGCTACTGGTTGGAGACCCCTGATTTAAAGCTTAACAGTTTATTCTGGGATATTTTTCATATATATAAGTATATTTATTAAATTTTATAGAGATTGTAGAACAGCTTGATATATAGTTTATTTTGGATACATTTATGTTTTTGTATGCCTTATTTCAAGTTCAAAATATGTTATTCATTTTATGTTTTATACATCGCAAAACTGCTCAAAGGAACATATTTGAAGCCTATATTTATTTAACGTTTTATGTAAATTATCAGTAAGAAAGTGTTTTTTTGTTTTGTTTTTTTGAGAGAGAGACAATGAATAAATGTTTCATGTAACAAAAAATAAATAAATATATGAATAATCGTGATAATGATTTTTTTCCATAATCGAGCAGCTCTAGATCGTTTATACACTTTTAAGGTGTTTCCAGTTGTTAATTTTAAATATTAGAATAATGAATCAATCTTCTTCACTTTACAGTACTGTACTATGTACTATGTAGGTCTAATTTTCACGTTATGATGAGTTATAGAACACAAAATAATAATCAGTTTCAGTATTAATTAGTATCTGATTGTAAATACTTTTCAAGTTCTATAATCTGAACATTTCTGTGTAGGAAATCGCATGCAGACATGAGCAGAACATGCAAACTCCACTGTATTTTCAACAGGCCTTCACTTCACGTCTGAGTCTGCTTCACTTGCACATTTGTTTCACCCTCCATCCCCCATCTGCCCATCAGTTTCACACAGTCACTGCTCTCCCTCTCTGAGCTGTCCTCTCACTTCTCCTTTCTCTCTCTCTCTGTTTCACTCGCTTTCTCATCGCTCTCTCTTTCACATCTCTCTCTCCCTCCGTTCCTGTCTGTCTCTCTCTCTCTCTCTCTCTCTTCATATTCTCTTCCTTTCTATCTCTCCTTAAACTCTCCCTCTTTTCATCCCTCCCTTTCAATCTGTCCTCTCCCTTTCTCTCTGCCTTCTACACTTTCTCTCTCTTTTCCTCTCTTCCTTATTCTCTCTTATGCTCCTTTCTTTCTCACCTTTCTCCTCCCTCTCCTGCTCTCTCTGTCCCCCTTCACCCTTCTCTCCTCTCTTTCCCTCTTTCTCTCTCTCTCCCTCCTTTCTTTTCCTCCTCTCTTCCTCCTTTTCCACCCCTCTCTCCCCCTCTCCTCTCTCCTCTCTCCCTCCCTCTATGACACACACACAAATCCAGCCAGTCTGCAGGCCGCCCACACACTGTTAGTCGGCTTGAATAGAAGTGAAAAAGTGTCATGCATCATCAAATGTGCGAAGGCCCTTTTGAGCGCGCGCCTGCCTCAGTGTGGAGGCATGTGCACCGGGGCTACTGCAGAGCCCTGTGTGTGTGTGTGTGTGTGTCTGTGTGTGTATATGCATGAATGACCACATGGGCTGTAATGTGACTGAATAGAGTGTAACTGGACAGTACGACATAGGAGGAGGAAGAGGAGGAGGGGGAGGACGTCTGGCTTTGCGTCATCATTTTAGTCTTCCTGTGCAATGCTTTTAGTACGTCTCTGTGTCTCAGTTTGGCTCGCACAAGTTTTTCTGTTTCAGTACCTGTATGTCGTTACTTTGAATTTAAATATCTGCCAGTATCAACCAATACTAGGGCAGAGGCTGGTCTGTTTTGTAAATGTTGTTTATCATTTAAAGTAGGCAAGGCAAGTTTATTTGTATAGCACAATTCATACACAAAGTCATTCAAAGTGCTTTACAGAATAAGAAATCCATTAAAATCACAATACAAACAAATTAAAACATAGATAATCAAGTAACTACAGAACATCTTTCTAAAAATACAAGTTTAATATTATGGTATATTAATATATTTAATATTGTTGTGGACATACCAGTTTGTCAAAGCCTGATCTCGTCAAATCTAAGAAGCTAAGCAATGCCGGGCCTGGTTAGTACTTGGGGCCTGTTTACACGAGAACGCTTGCAGGTAAAAACGACAAAATATTTTATCGGAAGTGCCTTTAGTTTAGATGGTGACAGCGTTTTTTGGGGCTTAAAAACGCAAAAATCTGAAACCAACCTCCAGAGTGGAAAAGTTGAATACGCTCCACTGTAGTGTTTCCGTCTACACTGCCCAAGACGCAAAACTCTGGTCAGACCTGTTCACATCGCGTACACGTTTACGTCACATACATACAGTACACAGAAACAAACATGTCGGCTGGCATGCTTACCAAGTTGAATTCCACACACTTTTGCGTCACCGTCTGCACACAGATTTCCTCCCGAAAACACTCGTCTAAACGCTGGAATAAAAAGTGAAGACGCGACACCACTTTTGCATCTTCTGTTCAGACTGCTGTCATATAAATGTAGCCTTGGATGGGAGCCCACTGGGAAAATCAGGTGTCACAGGGGGGCGCCAGCCGCAAAACTGTCTTTGTGTCTTTAGGTAAAATTCTTTACTCACATTTCTTCAGTCAGTCTCCACCATCGGGTATGGAATGACTGAATAATGCTCTGTAAAAGACGTATATAAATAAAAACTTACTTATTTATGAGACTTTTTGGGACAGTAAATCTTCTTATTCCGCCAGTTTATAGACCAACATGGGAATGGGTCTGAACCAATATTTTGGAAGGCGATATCCGATCCACCAAAATGTTCCAATATTGGCGGTGATTTCCAATACCAGTACCATATTGATGCATCCCTAATCTTTCATTAGCATGTCAGGCCATTTTGTACTTTTTCTCATTATTTGATATTTTGGAGAAAGAGGCACACAGTCGTCTCACATGGCTTCACAAAACTGATTTAGCCAACAGAAACTAACCAAATTAGTTAGACAATCCAAGACAAATATAGGATTACTCAAACATGCATGAATGGAAATATAACTCTGAGTAATGATAATGAAATGATAATGAAATCTATTTATAACAATGGTTAACATTTCATAAAAGTTGATTTTTCATTATTTTACCTTAAAAAATATAAAAGACCCCAAATTATTACAAACCAGAGACATGTATGCTACTGACAGCCCAACTCAAACATGGACAATATTAATTAATAGTAAAAATGTAAAATGATGTTGTAATACAGTGAGTTCTAGGGTTTAACCACTGATTGAAAATACCAGGTTCAACATTTGTGAGTTTACCTTTTGTATAGTTTGTAAGTACAATGTAATCAATACGGAAATCTGGCCCCTGCCCCTTATTTAGGAGAATGAAGTCTGAAAACTGCCAATTATCTAGCCTGATTTATTCACCTTGGCTGCTTGCGTTGTTGATCTGTGGTTGTGTTGACGTGACTAAAAAGCTTGTGTCTCGTCTCTTGTGTTGCAGGTTTGAGTGGACAGCCTGCGGACATCGAGAAGAGAAAAACAGTGTTTGGGCAAAACTTTATACCGCCCAAAAAACCCAAGACTTTCTTACAGTTAGTGTGGGAGGCGCTTCAGGACGTCACCCTCATCATCCTGGAAGTAGCAGCCGTAGTTTCACTAGGCCTTTCTTTTTATAGACCTCCAGACGCAGAAAGAGACCGTAAGTATCTTACTGTTTTTATTTTTAAGGTGCATTGTGTAACAATGGTTTAGGGTCAATCAAAGGCTGTTCTTGCTAGAGATGTTATTGCTTTGCCTGGAATGTTTCGCAGTATGGCATTAAACCTTTCTATCTTCATGGAGACAAAACCAGTTACCGAGTTACAGGTCACATCTGTGGAGAGGCACCCCCGGTTCACAGTCAGAATGTTTTCCGGATTATAAATTACTCCGGAGTATAAGTCTCACTTTTTGAGGGAAATTTATTTTGTAAAATCAGCGACCAGGAACCAACATTTCATCTTGAAAGTCAAGTTTTAGTAATAACAATAGAACAGAGAACAACAGACTGTTAACGTCACATAATTATTGAGATAATTATAGCATAAACAACAGAACAAGTTTACCAAACTCTCCATCTCACTCCAAATCACTAAATCCACTGAATTCTTCATCCTCAGTGTCATTTCTGAGAAACTCTGCGACTTCTGAAGATAAACAGAGCGCTGCTTTGTCTTCTGTGTAACTGTCGTCAGATTCGTCATCAGTTCCACTTAGAATTATTTCAGACTTTCTGAATCACGATAGGATGGTTTCAGTTGTCACTCAAGTCACTTGGATTAAAAATTTTCGGTGGTACAGAAGTAATGGTGCGATCGACTGACATGATACAGACAGGACAGAGGCTCTTTCTGCAGGAGACATGCGCAGTAGAGTGAAGTGACAGTGGTACAGGAGTAATATTAGTCAGTGTGAACATTTTTATATATAAGTAACACCGGAGCATAAGTCGCGGGACCACACACACCATGAAAAAAGTGCGATTTATAGTCTGAAAAATACGGTACTTGAAACTAACTTGACTGAGTGGGGTCACTTATCCACAGATCTGACCTGTAATTTGGCCTGGTGTTGCCGCTTGCTTGTTTTGTCTCCATGGAGTTTAATGCCATACTGTGGAACATTCCAGGCAATGCAATAGATAAGCAGGTGGCGGACCCTCCATTAGTTACATACTGCCCAGATAATTATTGATGCTGACTTTAAGATGACAATGTTTTCTGTTGCTTTTAACAAAATGAACTGCTGAAAAGGAGAAGGTTTGAAATGAAGTCTCTTGGTTTTTAAGATTTGTTTTTTTACATTGAAGTTGCTCCACTTTCATCTAATAGGAAATGTGTTTTCAGAAATTCAGTTCACTAAAGGTGCAAAAATCTCTTAATATACAAATTCAGATGTATTTTTAAAACCTTCTTGGACTTGGCCAGCGCTGCGTCCAAGTAATTTCCCCATTGGATCAATAGTGTCTAAGGCAAACTCTTCTAAGTGTTATGTGTGTGTAATGGGCTGATTATAAAAAGCTCTAGTGAAACTGAATCAGTCAGTGGTTCTCAAACTTTTCACACTATTTACCAAGTATTTTCAAGTTTCACTAGCTCTAAACCAGATCTGTAAAAGGACTAAACTACGACTAAACCTGGTCTAACCTAGGACTAATATTTCTGCAGCAGTTCTAATCAAAGACTAACCTAAAGATAGAAAAACATGTTAATAGAAGTGACTCTAAATTAACATTAAGGGGCTGCAGAGTAATCAGAATACCTCCACGAACCCATACCACAGTTTGAGAACATCTGATCTACTGTATAATATTTTTGGGGTCATGGATTTCAGGCAAACGATTCCTTCCTGATTTGAAAGATTTTGTGAGGACCTTTCCCCGTTCAAAAGATATAATATTTTGATTTGAATTGAGTTATTGCTGGAACAACGGAGGACTGATGCTGTGCTGAATTCTTCAATTCAGGAAGGACTCCCTTTGCCCGAAACCCATAAATTTGAAAGTCTAATACCTGCTTTTCTTACTCAGTTTTGGATGTTTCTGAAACTGGAACTCAACAGTAAATCAACTTTTTTGCTGCTTAATGGTGTATATGGTGTTTTAATAACATTATCTAGTGTTCCTAGGCTTTTTTGTTGGTTAATTTTAGTGTGAACTAGGTGTGTTTATAGCTTAGTGGTCAAAAACAGCAATTTCAAGTACTATGTGACATCACGCAGGGCTAGATTGAAGCCAGGCATTACTGATTATCGTATTTTTCGGACTATAAGTCACACCGGACTATAAGTCGTACTTTTTGGGGGACATTTATATTATAAAATCAGAAAGCGGGAACCGACATTTCATCTTGAAAAGCAAGTTACAGTAATAACAATAGAACAGAGAACAACAGACTGTTAACGTCACATATGAACAGTTCTTCAGATAATTATAGCATAAACAACAGAACATAACAAGTTTACCAAACTCTCCATCTCACTCCAACTCACTAAATCCATTGAATTCTTCATTCTCTGTCACTTCTGAGCAACTCCATGACCTCTAGAGGTAAACGCAGCATCGCTTCCTATTTTGTGTAGCTGTATATGTAGAATTATTCTGGCCTTTCTGAATCCTGACAGGATGGTTTCGGTGTCACTGAAGTCCAGGCTTTGTCGATCCATTCAGTGACTTCCAGGAAAGTTGCATAGTGCATCCTCCCCGTTACCGTGAAGCTGTGTTCTCCATTCCCCCTTTCTGCCAGTCCCTCACAAGTTGTTTCACTACTTGCAACAGGACACATGCAGGAGACATGCGCAGTAGAGCCAAGTGACAGTGGTACAGGAGAAATAGTAGAAGATATTGACACACAAGCCTAGAGCCTCTCATGGCTGTCAGTGTGAAAATTTTAACATATAAGTCGCACTGGAGTATAAGTTGCAAGACCACCCAAACCATGAACAAAAGTGCGACTTATAGTCTGAAACAAGTACAGACATCTAGCTGCAGGGGCGGAGTTTGCAGTGTGGATAGACCAATCACACTGTTCCTTACATCCCCCGCCTCTTTCTCCTCCTCACTCTTCTCTTTAGTCCTCCAGGTGCTGCCCAGTTTAGCAGCTGTATTTGAAACATGGTTGTGGGTGGAGTTTAGGTGCTGTTAAAACACCATACACACATTTTGGTAGCAAAAAACTGCTTAGTGTCTAGTTCCACTTTAAGATAAACTAACTGAAAAAGCTATTCCTTCATTAATCTTTTCCTCTTTCCTTCTCCTTTCCAGATTGTGGAAAAGCGGCTGGCGGTGTTGAGGACGAGACTGAGTCGGAGGCGGGCTGGATCGAGGGGGCGGCCATCTTGCTGTCTGTGATCTGCGTTGTCCTGGTGACGGCCTTTAACGACTGGAGCAAAGAGAAGCAGTTCAGAGGTCTCCAGAGTCGCATCGAGCAGGAGCAGAAGTTCACCGTGGTGCGCGGGGGCCAGGTCATACAGATCCCAGTGGCCGAGATAGTGGTGGGAGACATTGCACAAGTTAAATATGGTAAGTAGGGCGGTTGGTGAAAACCTGGGTAATGTTTATTTTGGATGAAAAGGTGCGTGTTGCAACTTTTCTGGTGGTCAGTCCTTCACCTGCTTGTCTCCATGGATCTGTTATTGCTTTGCCTGATATGTTCCATAGCCTAGTATAGCATTAAACGATCTGTCTACATGGAGACAAGCATGTACTATATTTTTCAGACTGTAAGGCACACTTAAAATCCTTAAATTTTCTCAAAAATCAGCAGTGGACGTTATTATCCGGTGCGATTTATGTATTAATTCTGGTTGTGTTTACTGACCTCAAACCAATTTTATGTTGTACACGGTGCTCAAAAATCTGTCAGAATGTTTTAGTATGACTTTGGTAAACTAGAAAGCCGCACCGCATGATGGACTGTCATGTCCTTTAGTCCGATGACAGAAGCTGACATCAGCGCACAAGGAGCAAGCTGTTTTTTCAGCGCTTAAAGTTTACACAAATGAGCCTTGTGGTTTTAAGTTTGATTTCTGTAAAACGTAAACAAATGTGCACAAAGCTGCATCAAACACATTATTACTCAATGTATATTTGAGTCATCCTCATTGGAAATAAAAAAACAAACTTAAATTATCCACCCACTTTCACATTCATAATGCACATTCACACACCGGGCGAATTACACCACGATGGATCGTGGATGCCTGGGCTAAGGATTAGTCTCAAGTGTCGTCCTTTTGTTTTTCTTAATGCGCCTTGTAATCTGGTGTGCCTTATGTATAAAAATAGACGAGAGAATTCAACATGATCGATATTGTGCCTTAAAATCCAGTGCACCTTATAGTCTGAAAAATACGGTTTTATAGATATATATATATATATATATATATATATATATATACACACATGACATCTGCTGTTTTACCAAATGACATTTCAACTGGAAGACAAAAAAAATTGCCTATATTTGAAAAGCTGTAAATCTTGTATCTATTAATTCATTTTTAATCTGTACAATAGACAAGAGAACCTTTTATTGTCAGGACACAATACCATTATAAACCGCAAATAACACTGCTGTTTACTGCAATACAAATAAAATGTATTTGTACAGTTCCTTTTATGTTATATAGTATGTGTAACCTAAAACAGGAAGTAGATTCCTTTTACATATTGATGGAGAACAGACTCATTCTTTGAGTTTTTTCTATACCCTCCTCTTTTAATAGAAAACACTGCTTTGAACGTCTCTCTATGGCTGATTTTAAAAACACACGGTTTAATCTATATATTCTGTGACCTCGGCGTGGTTATCAGTGGTAATTTGTTAAGGCTAACCAAGATAATGTATTCAGTATGGATTCTTAACATTGCATTTAGATACATTATTCATTCTAGTTTTTATCCTGACCTACAAAGGCAGTGTTTTGCTTTTAATCTTAAAGCACAACATTGTATTGTGTTGTAATATCAATTGGGTTATTATTTAAAGGTACAGTATGTACAGTATGTCGCATGTCACCTGCAAAATGATTCCATGGAAATATAAATTTAAAACCATACTGTGGAATATTTTACATGGAGATAGAGAAGTTTTATGCCTTGCTGTCAAAAATTATAGCCAAAGTGACTACATTTCCATGGAAACAAGCCAAAGGAGAGCCAGGTTTGTGGAGATGCAAGCCTGCTCGCAGTTAGGACTAGGGCTGGGTATCATTAAGAAGTTGCCGATATGATACATATCTCGATACAGTGAGCTTTCAATTTGATATGATATAATTCAAATCTATTCAATACGGTTAAATTAAAATAAAGGCTGAATAATGGAGTAAAAGTCTTTGTTAAACCACTTCTTTTGTAAAGTGAATAGGGGTGTGCAAAAATATTGAAATATCAATATATTGTATTGCTTAATGTGATGATACAGTATCGATATTGTGTGCTGCTGTATTGATATATCGCCAAGAGTATTTTTTGATATATTTTACTACATTATTTTGTTACAGCGCTATGGTTTTGTGCTTGTTTAATGAGAGGAAACTCGTTTTGTGACACATTTGACATTTTCGCTGTTTTGATAATTAAAATGTCTGTGTTTCATATTAACTGTTGTTGAACCGTAATGAATCGATTTGAAATGTATCGTATCGAATTGAAAGCTCACTGTATCAAGGTATGTATCATATCGGCAACTTCTTAATGATACCCAGCCCTAAAAGTAAATATGAAACACATACATTTTAATCCTCAAAACAGTGAAAATGTCAAATGTGTCGCATAAACAAGTTTCCTTCCACTAAACAAGCAACAAAACTGTAGCACTGCAATAAAATAATTTAGTAAAATATTTCAAAAAAATACTCTTGGTGATATATCGATACAGCAGCACACGATATCGATACTGTATCATCACATTAAGCGATACGATATATATTTTTGCACTCCCCTATTACCCTAAGACTTTTAGTATCACAGCCATGATTTAGCCTTTATTTTTATTGAACCGTATCGAATCGATTTGAATGATATCATATCGAATTTCCACTAAACAAGCAATAAAACCGTGGCACTGTAACAAAATAATTTAGTAAATTATACCAAAAAAAACCTCTTGGCAATATATCGATACAGCAGCACACGATATTGATACTGTATTATCACATTTAGCGATACGATATATCAATATTTCCATATATTTGCACACCTCTAGTTAGGATGCATGCTTTTCACTGCAATAAACAACCAAAAATGTGTCTTTAAATTTGCAATGAGGTCTTTCATCTCCCTGTATTTACCTGTTGACGATAAGGAAGTTCTATCCAAAAGCACTGAATAAAATATAAACCTGCTTAGCTAAATCCGATCTCTTCCCATGTCTTTCCAATTGGCTGTTCTGGTGTCCGCTGTTGTTTTCCACACTGAACATGTGTTTTGTGGCGGTGTGTCTCAGGTGACCTCTTGCCTGCTGACGGAGTCCTTATCCAGGGCAACGATCTGAAGATAGATGAGAGCTCGCTGACAGGGGAGTCGGACCATGTGAAGAAGACACAGGAAAAAGACCCCATGCTCTTATCAGGTAACACACACCACTACATTTAAATGGGATGGTAATGAGCTGTTGTACACCAGCTATTTACCCTTAAAGCTTTGACTATCTTATGGGAACACTTTATAACTTTAATAACTACAACTACTTTAATTAGCCTTGATAAAGCATGAGCAAAGACCCAAAACCTCTCATTATGTAGTTACTAATCTTGAATCTTTTTTTTAAAAACGCTCTTATCAGGTAACACACAATCTCTCCTCTACATTTAAGACTGTAATGGGCTGTTGTACCCTTAAAACTTTGAGTATCTTATGGAAACAGTGTACAATAACCACACTTTAATCGGCCTTAATAAAGCGTAAACAAAGACCCTAACCCCTAAATTAAGTATCATTCTTAACGCTCTTATCAGGTAACTCTCAGCCTCCCTTCTACATTTAAATAAGATTATAATGGGCCGTTGTACAAGCTTTGACTATCTTATTGAAACACTGTATAACTTTAATAACTGCAAGTACTTTAATTAGTCTTGATAAAGCATAAACAAAAACTCTAACCTAAATTAAGTAGATACTAATCCTGAATCTTTCGTAACGCTCTTATCAGGTAATTCACAACCTCTCCTCTGCATATAAATAAGACTGAGCTCTAATGTTGTAAAGTGTTTACAAGTTTGACCAAATATCTTACAATAACACTACGTAGTAACTGCACAATTAGTTTTAATGGAGCATTAAACCTTAAAGGTCCTATATTACACAAAATTGACTCTTGTGAATTTTAAGGAATACTGGCTCAAGTGTCCCCCTGGCTTGAAAGTCCCAGCCGAGTCAGTCTCAGTCTCTTTCTATCTGTGAGAACGTCCCCCTCCTCCCTCCAGGTGCCTCTTTCTCTTGGGCATCACATGGGTAACTGCTGTGCCCAGGAGAGGGGGGACGTTCTCATCAGCCTTTAGTGTGTGATGTATTGAGTTAGAAAATCAGCATTCTATATCATAATAAAATTAAATGTGAATGTACCAGACCTAATGTCGGGCTTTGTTGATGTCATTTTACCCATTTTCTCAAAGTGCCACACATTTTTTCAGTATGTAATCCTGATTTGGTTGCAGAAGTTTGCTATGAAATCATATTTTAAATAATTTTTTCTTGTTCCCCATGTCCTATAGCACTGTTGATTTGGGAATAAATATTAATTATTTCCTTACCTGCTTGCCTTGAACATAATCAACTCAACAAGTCAGGTGTCATGTCTTGCAACGCAACAGGGGATAAAAGCAGGGTGCTCATTCTTCTCAAATCAAAATAATTGATTGTGCTCAACATGAACAAATGGGTTGAGATATACTGTAATTTAAGTATGTAATTAATACAGTATTTTAATATATGTATAATTTTATTTATATGTATATAAATTAACTAACTTATTTTCATAAAGGGTACAATTCAGGGGTCCTTCCAGCCAGGGGCATCGTTTTAAGCCCTGTTCTCATGTTACTTCATCAGAGACATTCTTGAAGTTGTGTTTTATTTCATCCACACATGTTTGACCAACGCTTTATTATTAGTCTGTCTAAATCTTCAGTGCTGAAATGCTCTGTTCCACCTTGTGATGTCATGAGTCTGTAGTTTTCAAGTTGACAGCCTGAACTTTTTATCTATTGTTCAGCAGTGACAGGAAATTCCAAGGTTAAACTTATTCTTCTGATTCTAGCGAAGGTGTGTGGAGTTTAAAAACAATGCGTGGCACTTCCCGTATTACCAAATGACATCACAAGTTGGAACAGGGTGTTTTTTGCAGGATCTGTGTGAATGAAACAAAACGCAACTCCAGATATGTTCAGTTCAAAAAGGAAGTCATATTTATTATCTTCTAGGATCATTCCCACACAAATACAATATAATTCTTGTTCAAAATATGCCAGATTGTTTAATATCCTAAATAAATCCTGGCCTCTAGCAGACTGGCAGTACTGACTGAAAGCTGAATTAACATGGTAACAAATGGGGCGATTGTTTTAATTGGAGACAGTGAATCTCTCCCCTCAACTGACAGAAAATCGTGTCTTGTGATCTACAAACTGCACAGCACATTTAATTGACACAAAAATGGATTATCCTTATTGCAATCTTTTCCCCCCATATCGTGTGTCACTTTATAATTACGAATGTGTTTATGAGTAGTAGTAGTAGTAGATCGCAAGAGTGACGAGAGATTAAACCGAGTAGTGCTTCTGATTCAGTCTCTGATAGTTTCATTAATTCATTGAGATAATTGTGTTTTGATTAAAGGCAGGTCATTAAAGTCTTGTCACAAACGTCAATCCGTTACTGATTTTTTTTTTTTTAATAAACTCAGTGTGTGTGACCTATTGAGAACAGGGGGGGGTCACACTTGAACTCACACTGTGTCGAATCAAGGTCTAAACCCAGACTAGACCAGGACTAGACCAGGAACAAATCAAGTCTATATCTGCATTAAACCAACCGAACAAGGACTACACCAGGATCGAACCATGACTAGACCAGGAATAAGCCACGAATTAACCAGGACTAGACCAGGACTAAATCGGGATCAAATCATATTTAACCAGGATTTGATCAAAACCGGACCAGGACTCTCCCAGGACTGGATCAGGATTTGACGAAGACTAAGCCAGGATTAAGGCAGGACTGAACCAGAATTAGATCAAGACTGAACCAGGACTTGACCAGGACCAGACCAGGATCGAACCATGATTTAACCAGGATTTGAGCAAGACTGGATCAGAACTGGATCAGGACTGGACCAAGATTTGACCAGGACTAAGCTAGGACTGAACCAGAATTAGATCAAGACTGAACCAGGACAAGCCCGAGATTGAACCATGGTTTGACCAGGACTAGACCAGAACTAGACCAGGACTAGACCAGGATTAGACCAGGACTAGATCAGATTCAAACCATGATTTAACCAGGACTGGATCAAGAATTGACCAGGACTACACCAGGACTACACCAGGACTACACCAGGACTACACTAGGACTACACCAGGACTACACCAGGACTAGACCCGGACTGAACCAAGACTGAACCAGGACTGAACCAGGACTAGACCAGGATTAGATCAGGATCAAACCATGATTTTACCAGGACTGGATCAAGAATTGACCAGAACTTGACCGGAACTTGACCAGGACTGAACCAGGACCTCTCCAGCCAATATTTACACTTAAACAGACATACAGCAGGACATTTTATACGAATTTTCTTTTCATTCTTGATTTAATCCAGCCGCACTGATCAAAAACTCTGCCTGTTTTTCTGTTGCAGTCGTAAAATCGCATGCATTATTTACTAAGTCTTCTTCTGCTTTTCCAATAGGCACTCACGTAATGGAGGGCTCAGGGAAGATGGTGGTGACCGCTGTGGGCGTCAACTCCCAAACTGGAATAATCTTCACTTTACTTGGAGGAGGAGAGGACGACGAAGACGAAGAGGAGGAGAAGAAGAAAGAGAAGGAGGAAAAGAAGAAAGCCAAAAAAAGTAGAGTCCTTTTTATTTTACTGCGTTTGTTCTGTTTGCCCATTAGTTTTAGCCTGAATAAGTTTTACAACGCCACAAGAGCACTCAGCCTCTGCTCTCTCTATATTTACCCACGCAACTGCATAATGCATTTAAGACGCTTTTATTACAATGGATAATCTTACGTCAGGTTCTTTTTTATATTTGTGTTCATTTTGCAGGGGTGGGTAGAGCCAGAGAGAGTGGACAAAATCTTGACTTATTGCTTTGTCTGGAATGTTTCACAGTGACACACATGATATTAAGCTTTTTTTTTCTTCAAACCAGACCAAGTTACAGGTCAGATCTGTGGAGAGGCGACCCCGCTCACAGTCAAAATGCCTGTTTTCTAGCTTTTTTGAGCTATAAAACCACTTAAAATTGAATAAATGTAAGATAGAGAGAGCTGTTTAATGTCATACTGTGGAACATTCCAGGCAGAGCAATGACATATCTATAGAAAAAAGCAGATGACAGACCCCTAACCAAAAAGTTACACAGTGCACCTTTAAGTAAGAGTACAGTTAACAGTGTTTCCCATAGATACAAATATGGTACAAATAATTCTATATTGATTAATTATTTGTTTCATACCATTGGAGTTTGAATGGGTCTTATAGACCTTTTTCACAACGCCCAGAAGTGCCGCGATGTATGGTAAACGTCACTTACGTTAATGCTTTTCTACCGTAAAATATCTGTGGAAATGTCTTGCATATTTTCCATCAGCTTCATAAATCTGCCCCATCACCAAATCTTCATCCAACAAGGTCGACAAAGGACATATTCAGTCCATGAAGAATTTATTCACAACTGTCAAGGTAAGAAAGACGGAAACGTAAAGGCAAACAACGACGAGCATTAGTGAACTACTCCTGAGCAAAACTAATGTTATGGTCATGAATAAAACATAAGTAACTTGAGAACTTGTGAATTAAAATTATAAATTGATTTCATGATGTAGATATTAGCAGAGGCAGAGAGATTTGTGCAGTTTAAATGTGACATGTGATCTGTGAATATCTGTAGCATTTAAACCGCACAAATCTCTCTGCCTATGCGAATATCTACATCATGAAATTAATTTTTAATTTTAATTCTAGAATCAGTCTGAGTTCACAAGTTAGTTATTAACAAATCACTTATTACTTATGTTTTATTTTTGACCATAATATTAGTTTTGCTCAGGAGTAGTTCACTAATGCTAGTTGTTGTTCGCCTTTACGTTTTCATCTTTCTTACCATGATAGTTGTGGATAAATTCTTCATGGACAGAATATGTCCTTTGTCGACCTTGTTGGATGAAGATTTGGTGATGGGACAGATTTACAAAGCGAAAACCTGTACCTGATCTTTTAATGACAGTCTGAACAACACTGATCTGATTTTTTTCAAATGTGACCCAGTCCACTTGGATATGCGCTCCTAAAACCGATAAATATCTGATCTTTTGACATGCGACTTCAGTCTGAACGGCCAGGTCGCATTCATCCCACCTACAAGTCACAAATGTACACAAACGTTCTTCTTGTCATACGAAAATTGTGTATGAACTCTGTGTGAGTGAAGCAGCGAAGCACATGTTAATCCCACCGCTCTTGGCTGCGACTCCACACCCCCACAAAATGCCATGGCCAAAAACCTCGTCCTTCTCCTTCGCAATCTCCTCCTTAAAACAAATAAGCTGTCCATGTTCTGGCTCCTGTACGACAGCAACTTTAAAATCTCCAGGTGCTAAATGTCCACGTCCATGCTGTGTGGGATGTCGTTTTGTCCTCCAGTGCGCATGCGGGACACTTGGGGTGCTTAAGTCACTTTTAATTGGAAATGTGAACGGCCTCGCAAAAAAACTGAGTTCACAAAAAATCCAAATTGAGCATTAAGCCCTGCAGTGTGAACGTAGCCTAAGACTACTGTTATAATATTCAAGTAGGAGTCAAAGTATGGAGTTACTGAGAGGTACAATAGTATGAAAATGTTACTCAAGTGAATGTAATTTAGAAATTGCTCTGCTCATGTCTCTGTATTGAATTGTAATGGTTTCTGTTTTTTTATTTCCAGACAAAAAACAAGACGGATCTGTGGAGAATCGTAAAAAAGGTAAGTTACCATTGTCAGTGCTGCCCATTAGGCCATCACTGCTGTTTAAAGCTGCACTATGTCACCTTTCCGATGTGGAGTCTGCCACTTTTAACAACTGATAAAGCCTTTTGGATGAAGCGAAATATTTTCAAATCAGAACTCCAGATGAAACCCTTTGTTGCTATTTTTTAACACTGTCAGAAGTAACAAAAGAATTTAAATTATAAGGACGATATTAAGAAGAAAATGGAAAAATATAATGTAATTTGCAAGTTGTGCTGCTGAAAAGGAGTATTTTTGTCTGTGTTTTTGTCTGCTGTAGTTATAATAATGACACCTGTGGATCATTATTTTATGCTTTTGGACATTTTAAATTGCAGTATTCATCTAAAACAACCTTGAGTAAATGGGTAAATGAGAAGAGAAAATAACTATTAGATGCTTTAAAGGTCTTGAAAGTTGATTGTGCATAATATACCTTCTTTAAACATATCCGGTTCTAACCCCCTTTTCAATTACATTTTATACAGTACTATTTTAAAGTAGATCTATTATGCAAAATCAGAGCTTTTACCCATGTTATAACTTTTTTCCTCGTCTCATTTACCCTCTCAAAGCTGTATTTAGAGTGATCCGTGTATGTTTTGCTTATTTAAACGAAACCTGCGCACTTGTTAATCGCTTATTTTCAAGACTCCATGTTGCCAATCAATGCTCATTTTCACCGCCACTGGTACACGCCCACTAGTCATGCTGGTGCCACCTAGTGCCTCCGCTCAATTTAATTTCTCTCCAGTGACTAGGTCAGGAATCGGAATACACTAGACGGTTCACCAAAAACCTCAGAAGTTGTAGACCGTGCACCGGCCAATCAGTGAAGAGCTGTGAAGCCATGACGTCAAACTCAAGTGCCTGTCTGGGTCCCTTTTGTGGTTCAGCACAACAGTAAACAAAGGGGTCGAGATGGATGTAGACGAAGCCATACATTCTGTGTTGGCAACGATTCCCGAGATCGAGGATTTAAAGCCGGAACAAAGAGAATGTTTGGTGAATTTTATCAAGGGGAAAGACGTTATTGCCCTTCTTCCTACGGGATTTGGGAAAAGCTGAATATACCATTTAGCCCTGTTAGTGGAGCATTACATACACCACAACCAAATGTTAGCGATTGGTTAAATAAAAAAAGTACTTGCCTACTGTCGAGCGAACAAATCCTAATGCTGCAAGGTCAGACAGTTTCCACGAAATGAAACTGGCTACACTCCCACTTCTCTATCCTTTCTTTGTTCTCCAATTTTATTTTCTTAATTTGTGATATGCGTGGGATTCGACAGTGTCACACAATCATTTTGGTACAAATAAAAAAATCTACTTCTTGCTAGTGTTTCTGCAGTTATCCATCAGAGGTGCCGACTCTTTGCTGTGAAGATATTTACAGTGACGTCTGCTCTCATTGGGCACCAGAATTTTCTAAAGCAGAAATTCCTGCACTTGCTTCTTTTATTAAGTTTTTTTAGATGAATATGGCAATTTAAAATGTAAATTATAACATAAAGATCCACAGGTTTCATAGATTATAACCATACAGCAAACACAAGCAGAGTATGTCATTTTTAAAATTTTAGTTTTAATTCCCTTTGATTATGTAAAATGATGCCACTTACCTTTGTCAATCTCCTCCACACTCAACAAATACTCCTCATTCAAAACACTTTTAGTACGTCGGTATTTTTCGCTCGTTTTTCATCTGCATATCTTCCTCTGAATGGATTCCTCCCAACATGATCACACCACTAAAGGTTAATACCTCATTGAGATAATTGGCTGCAGTGATTTGATGAAGTAATGAAGCGCTACATGTTTTTCCTTGACCCCGTGTGAGCCTGCGTTGGACTGCCTGTTCCTCCTCTCCCCTCTCGCCGCTCTCCTCTTTTCTCATATTTTCTGGTGCATTTCTGGCGCGTTGAGCAGCAGGTGCCTCCCAATCCAGTTATAGCGATTAGTGATGAGGAGATTAAAGCCCTGCAACAATTCAGGGTCTGGAACATCTGCTTTCCCACCCCCCCTGAACGCCACACAGTCCCCAAGGCGCCCACAATTTGATTTCTATCGATTGACTATGCGCTGGTCAACTGTAAACATGCAGCGCAGCAATTTCTGTTTAAAAATTGGTTTAGAAGGCTTGTATAATATCGAAAAAATACAATACTGCATTTTTCCCCCTTGTAGATAAAAAAAAATAAATACAAGTTTAAAGTTGTATTGAGTAAATTTTCTGTTGGAGGGTCCATCCAATGCTTTTCTCCATGGATATGTTATTGCTTTGTCTGGATATGTTAAACCTTTCTATCGTCATAGAGACTAAACCAGACCAAGTTACAGGTCAGATCTGCGGAGAGGCAAACCCAGAATGCCTGTTTTTATGTATTTTTGAGCTATAAAACCACCTGTTTTCGAATAAATGTAAGGTAGAGATGTTTAATGTCATACTGTGGAACATTCTAGGCAGAGTAATGACTTGGGATGTAACGATATCCGAGTCTCGTGATACGATATCGTCACGGTATGAACCTCACAGCAAGATATTTATTGCGATATCATAGGAAAGCTCACGATATTTGGGATGTAACAATATCCAAATCTTTCGCTACGATATTTTCACGATATACATCTCACGGTACGATATTTATTGCGATATTTTGTGGAGCCTAATAAAACTATTAATATACAATTTTTTCCTCTTAAAATGCCTTGACAAGACTTAGTCCAAAGAACTAAGACTTAAAAGTGCTTAGAACTATTATTTCTTCTTGTAGTTTACACTGAAATGGAGCAAAGGTTCATGGTCTATGTAGTTCCCTCTGTCTTTTTTATCTATTGTTGCACCATAACTCTTAATTTAAGCAAAGAGACTTGTAATTCGATATATTGTGATGGTCCACGATACGAACTTTTCACGATATTTTGGTTATTATTACATCCCTAGTAATGACATATCCATAGAAACAAGCAGGTGACGGACCCCAAACTGAAAAGTTAATTAGTTGGTGCACCTTTAAGAAAAGAACCGCAATATTAATCGCAATCTAAATCACAATTTTTATGGATTAATTAAAATAGCAAATTGCGAATGCTGATTTTTTATTTTTTTTTGAAAGTACTATAATTTCCTCCACAAACATCAAAATCTCCTGTCTTATTCTGCAAAAAAAACAAAATAACAAAACTGCTAACCCTGTAGTTCAGGCATGTACAAACATGTTCTGAAATCTGATTCTTGTATTCATTTTTCCATTCATATTTCACTCTTTTTGTCAGCTCTTTTGGACGTTTTTGAAATGTGAAACTTGAACAGAATCCTATCATTAAAACATGAACTGCAATGCTTGTCTGAGAAATCAAGAGATATTTTTCCCCAAATCGTTCAGCCCCATTTCAGAGTGATGAAGGATTAGGGTTGTTGCCATAGCAATTGACAATTTTTTTTTTTTTTAGTAAGTGAGTTTATTTCTCTAGTTTTTTGGCATAGTTAAAAAGACAACAAAAATATATATAGCAGTATTTTACAGTCTGAAAGGGTTTAGGCTGAAGTTTAAGCACTATTGTGTCTAACTCTATCAATTCAAAGCTAAATATTATCTGAAAAGTTGTCAAATACATTTCTTCTTTTTTTTTTACACCCAGGGGCGTTAACTGAAGAACAAATTTTAAACCAAAATGAGGAAGTGTGCCAAGATAAGGTTGAAAGTTGTTTCTGGGTATTTTCGAGAGGGCATTATGGGTCAACAATTTGGGAAACTTGTTTTTGTTTTTTTTCTCTTAATAATAGCTATTGAAATTGGATTGTAATGATAGGATTATGTTCAAAGTTCTTATTTTTATAAATACGTCCAAAAGAAGTGACAAAAAGACTGAAGTATGGACTGAAAAACTCACATAATAATCACTTTTTAGAACATACAGGTGTAAACCACAAATTTATCAGTTTAAATGCAGAATAAGGCAGAATTGTGTGGTGTTTGTGGAGGAAATTATGGTACTTCAGCAAGTTTAATGTAATTTTGAGTCAAGTGCGATTCATTTTGCAGTCCTAAATTATTTTTGCAATTCCATCTGTGATTTTTTATCTATTTTGATCAATAAATAAAGGTTCTATATTACACAAAATAGATTCTTGCGAGCATCTTCTGTCAAATACAGACCTGGAGTTGTTTTTTTTCATCCACACATGTTTGAGTAACACTTTATTATTAGTCTGTTTACATTTCCAAAGCCCAAAATGCTCTGTGATGTCATGTAGTGGTAGTTTACAACATCTCCTTTTAATTTCAGTTCAGTAAAGATTGACAATTCCAGGGCTGAAGTAATTTTAGTAAAAGTACACAGAGTTAAAAACGCTGTAGAGCACTCCCTTTTGTAACAGTGTTTTCCATTTAAGAGAAGAAATCAGCCTAAATATGCAGAGTTTGTGTATTAAACATGCGCGAATGAAACAAAACACAACACCAGGTATGTTTTTGATGAGGAAACGACATTGTAACATATGGTAGATCAGAAAATAGCGTAATATGAGCCCTTTTAATATGAATGTTCTGTCCTATACCACTGTTAACTCTCCTCATATCCTGCTTGGACATTATGATCTAGTGGTGTTTGTGTCTGTGGTACAAACCTGGCTCTGGTCCCTGGTGCGTTTTCTCTGCTCCTGCCAGAAACCAGCCGTAATCCTTTAGACCGAGATTACACAGAGTTCAGAGCAGCCCAGGCTACAGCAGCTGCACCAGCCTCGCGCTACTACATGTATTTAACCTGACAATGCCATTATGCAATAGGACTGAAACATGCAACATCACATTATGAAGAAAGTACAATGTATTTCCATCATAGTTCTGCAAAGCCTCATCAGAATAATAGAGGATGTCATAATTTCAGATGAAGAAGACAGCCCTATGAAGAGCTGAGGGATATTCACTGTTTTTGGATGAAATAAGTAACCCCATTTGGACAAAGTACTGTAAAATAGAATAATGTATGTGTATGTAAATGTATGTGTATGTATATGCTTGTATAATGTACTGTATGTGTAAGTGTGTTTTGGGGTTGCTAAAAACAAATAAACAAACAAAAGATATAAGGCAGACATGTCAAACTCAGGCCCAGGGACCAAATTTGGCTCGCGATATGATTATATTTGGCTTGCGAGATGATACCAAATATGTTTTAGAGCTGGCCTGCCGGCTACAGATAAGCTATAGAAACATTATTTATTCAAAATTGTGTTATTTTATGCTTGTTCTGGATTAAATATTTTAGCAAAACTATTATTAAACATTTATTTTAATAAGAAAAAGTTTAACATTACATATCTCGAAAGAAGATAAACATGCAGATGGTGTAAATATTTAGTTTGTCCAAGGACTTAGTAGCCTGATTCATGAGTCGGTTTTACTTCGTTTCACTTTGTAGAAACCGTCTGACCTCGCAGCATTAGAATTCATTCCCTCGATGGTAGGAGGGTACTTTTTTTATTTAACCAATCGCTGCTATTTGGTCGTGACGTATGTAATGCGCCGCTAGCTGGGCTAACGGGTATATTAAGCTTTTCCCAAATCCCACAGGAAGAAGGGCAATAACGTCTTTCCCTTTGATATAATTCACCAAACATTCTCTTTGTTCCAGCTTTAAATCCTCAATCTTGGGAATCATTGACAACACAGAATATATCACTCTTCGCTTATTGGCTGGTGCCCGAACTCGCACTTCTGGGGTTTTTGCGAACCGTCTAGTGCATTTTGATTCCTGACCTAGTCGCTGGAGAGAAATGAAACTGAACGGAGGCACAAGGTGGCACCAGCCTTAGTCCCTGTTTTTAATTTTGGCCCTCTGTGAATTTGAGTTTGACATCCCTGATAGGGATGTCAAAGGGAACAGGAAATGTATAAATGCAAATTTGATTTGACAGCCCTAAAATGTAAATACACACATGCAAACACTGCACTGAGAAACCTCCCTACCCATGCCCCTTCTTTTCTTTTTTCTTTGTCTCTTCTTTTTTATTTACTTATTGTTCTTTTGAGGTTGTTGTTTTTTGTATATGTTTTAATCTTATATTTTGTTATGTCTATTTTGTTATTATGTGCCAGGTATCCATTCCCTCAAATATGACAAATTATAATAAAAAAAAAGAAAAAGAAAAAAAGATCTACAAATGTTAAACCTTATCAATATTTGTTAGGAATTGACTCCACAAACTTGCTATATTAATTTTAGGTCTTAAAATCCGTTCAACTGATAATAATGCTGACACACAAGCTGGTGAACTTTTGTTTTGACAGTTTTGTGGTTACTTAAATTTCTCATATTACTCTGTTTTCTGATGTTGTTTCCTCATCACAAACAGACCTGGAGTTGTGTTTTGTTTCATTCACACATGTTTAACACACAAACCTTGCACATTTAGTTTGATCAAGTCATATTGAGTTCTTCTGTCAAACTGAAAAAACTCTGTTCCACCTTGTGGTGTCACGTGGTAATACAGGAAGAGCTCCGCTGTTTATTTTTAACTCCATGCACCTTCACTAGAATCATTTGGATGATTTCAGCCCTGGAATTTCCAAGCTCTACTGAACATAAGATAAATGATCGCTGTTAACTTCAAAACTACCTCTTCGTGACATCACAAGGAGGAACTGAGCATTTTTTTGAGCTTTGGAGGTGTAGACAGAGTAATAAAAAAGGATTACTGAGGCATATAAATGAAACAAAACACCACGCCAGGTATGTTTTTGAGAAAGTGACAACAATATAACATGGCTTAAAGCTCAAAAGTGTCAATTTTATATAATATAGGACCTTAAAACAATACATCAGTTGCATTTTTTGTTATAGTAATAGTATAGTATCACACAAAAATCGCCACTCCCTCCACTCTTGCGTATCAATAACAATACCAGGAATCTGTTTTTGTCGCTGTAAATGTGGCGTATAAAGGAGCAGAGGGAAGGTGTGTGTGTTAGAATAATAAATTGTGGGAGATTGGAATTGCCAGTTTTGGCCCAGGGCTCCTAAACGTGTTCTTTTAATTTGTGTGTGCTTAATTACTGTAAAACGCAATGAATTAAAATCCCATTTGTATGAACAGGTTGAGAATAGAAACAGCACAATGGGGGCTTGTAATAATTTCTGAACTGCAGTCTGGACCAGTCAAAGATTCAGCTGTCTTTCTCTCCCTCTCTCTTCTGTTTCTCTTTCTCTATTTCGCTCTCTCTCTCTTCCTTTGTCTGTCTGTCTTTCCCTCTCTCTCGTGCTTTCTCTATCTATCTCTCTGTCTTGCTATTTTCTCTCTCTTTTCTGTCATTCTCTGTCTTTCCCTTCTCTTACCTCTGTCTTTTCTCTCGCTCCCTCTCCCTCTTTGTCTCTATTACTGTCTGTATTTCTATTTTTATCTCTCTCTCTCTCTCTCTCTATCCCTCTGTATTTTCTATTTATCTCTCTTCCTTCTATCTCTCTCATTTTTTTAAATGATTTTCTCTCTCTTTGCCTTTGTCTGTCCATCTTTCCCTCTCTCTCGCTCTCTATTTATCTCTCTGTCTTGCTATTTTCTCTCTTTTCTGTCATTCTCTTTCTCTTCTCCTACGTCTGACTTTTCTCTTTCTGTCTCTCCTCTTGAATGATTTTCTCTCTCTTTCGTCTTTTTCTGATTCTCTCTCTTTCTTTCTCTCTCTTGTTCTCTCTCTCTGTATCTGCTATTTTCTCTCTTTTCTGTCATTCTCTCTTTCTGTTTTTTTTCTCTCTCTCTCTCTCCCTCTTTGTCTTTGTCCCTCTCTCCCTTCTCTCTCTCTTATCTTTTTGTATGATTCTCTCTTTCCGTCTCTACCTATGTTTGTTCTCCTATTTTCTCTCTTTCTCTTCTACTCTCTCTCTCTCTCTCTCTCTCTCTCTCTCTCTCTCTCTCTCTCTGTATTTCTATTTATCTCTCTCCCTTCTATCTCTCTCATCTTTTGTATGCTTCTCTCTCTCTCTCTCTCTCTCTCTCTCTCTCTGTATTTCTATTTATCTCTCTCCCTTCTATCTCTCTCATCTTTTGTATGCTTCTCTCTCTCTCTCTCTCTCCCTTTGTCTGTCCATCTTTCCCTTTCTCTCTCTCGCTCTCTATTTATCTCTGTCTTGCTATTTTCTCTCTTTTCTGTCATTCTCTTTCTCTTCTCCTACCTCTGACTTTTCTCTCTCTCTCTCTCTCTCTCTCTCTCTCTCTCTCTCTCTCTCTCTCTCTCATCTTGAATGATTTTCTCTCTCTCTTTCATCTTTTTCTATGATTCTCTCAATTTCTTTCTCTCTCTCTTGTTCTCTCTCTCTGTATCTATCTCTGTTCTGCTATTTTCTCTCTTTTCTGTCATTCTCTCTCTTTCTCTTCTCCCTCTGTGTTTTTCTTTCTCTCTCTCTCCTTCTCTCTATCTTATCTTTTTGTATGATTCTCTTTATCTGTCTCTACCATGTCTGTTCTCCTATTTTCTCTCTTTTCTGTCATTCTCTCTTTCTCTTCTACCTCTCTCTCTCCCTCTGTCTTCATCCCTCTCTGTATTATTATTTTTATCTTTCTCTCTCCCATCTTTTTGTATGATTCTCTCTCTTTCTCTATCTCTGTTCTGCTATTTTCTCTCTTTTCTGTCATTCTCTCTCTTTCTCTTCTACCTCTGCCTTCTCTCTCTCTATCTCTCTTTCATCTTTTTGTATGATTCTCTGTCTCCCTCTCTCCATCTCTCTCTCTCTCTCTATCCCACTCTGTATTTCTATTTTTATCTTTCTCTCTCCCTTCTATCTCTCTCTCTCTCTCTCATCTTTTTGAATGATTGTCTCTCTCCTTTTTTCTCTTTCTCTCTCTGTCCTTTTTCTATCTCTTTTCTCCCTCTTTCTCTTTTCTTTCAATCCCTTTATCTCTCTTTCCTGCCTCTCTCTTTCTCCCTCTCCCCCTTTCTTTTCTGTAGCTAAAGCACAGGATGGCGCCGCGATGGAAATGCAGCCTCTGAACAGTGATGAAGGAGCGGACGCAGAGGAGAAGAAGAAAGCCAATCTGCCAAAGAAAGAGAAGTCTGTTCTCCAGGGCAAACTGACCAAACTGGCCGTGCAGATCGGCAAAGCAGGTGAGTCACGACCAACATAATACTGCAATAAGATGTTCCCACTCAATATACGGTATTACGTTCAATAGTGCAGAAAATGTACAGACAAATAATGAGCCCAGAAGGTTTAAGATCTATTGAACGATGAACTGACTGTGACGACGCTGCACAGAGACTCATACTGTGTTATTGAAGATAATTCAGAGGATTTGAGGGAGGGCCGAGGGTTTAAAAATATTCTATACCAACATATTTCACATTGCCACTGTTGGACTATGGCACCCTCATTAATGTGTAATTATAATCTAAAAAAAAAAAGAAAGAAAGTAAAAAAAAATAAGGTAACAGTTTAGATTAGAGACCACATATTAATAGCTAGTTAATAGTAAAATGCATAATAAGTGCTTAATTACACATTTGTAAATATTTATAAAGTACTTTCAATGCATTTTTGTCTGTATTTTGCAAGTACTAACCCATTAACAATTTTTTTCCCATTAAAGTACTGGAGATTGCAGTAGATGTCTTTGTGCATACACTGAAACCTTAATAAACATTAATAAGTGTTTAATTAATACCAACTAAGAGCTAAGTAACAACTAATTAGTAAAGCAATTACCACTTAATTAGTGATTAATATGTGGTCCCTAATCTAAAGTGTTACCAAAAATAAAATAATATAAATTAAATTCACAAATACTGAACCTGATCATCATTCAACTTCACTTCTTGACAATTTATTTACACATTTATATTTTTAAAACAGGCATGTCAGAGTGTCAATATTTCACAAAAGCAGGTCCAAGGAGAGTCTGGGTCTCTCCAGTCCAAAGTGACCAAAGAAAACATTTGACATTTAAGTCATTCAACCTTTTATTCTTTTGAATAATATCACAACTTTCCAACAAAAACCCTCTTGGCATAGGCTTTACAGCAGTTGTATTTACATGTAACACAAACCAGCACATTTTCAAGTACTGTATTTTTGGGACTATGAGTCACACCAGCCAAAAAATGCGTAATGAAGAAGAAAATAACACATATAAGTCGCAAACCAAACTCTCCATCTCACTCCAAATCTCTAAATCCATTGAATTCTTCATCCTCTGTGTCACTTCTGGGCAACTCCAAGACCTCTGGAGGTAAACAGAGTGCTGCTTCCTCTTCTGTGTAGCTGTCGTCAGATTCAGCATCAGTTCCGGTTAGAATTATTCTGGCCTTTCTGAATCCCGACAGGATAGTTTCAGTTGTCTTTATAAGTTAGTTTAAATTTTGAATTTTCAGTAGTACAGAAGTAATGGTGCGATTGACTGACATGATATAGAAAGGACAGCGGCTCTTTCTGCAAGAGACATGCGCAATAGAGCAAAGTGACAGTGGTACAGGAGTAACAGAAGTAGTAGATACTGGCACATAAGCCTAGATCGCCCTCTTGTGGCTGTCAGTGTGAAAATTGTATATATATATATATATATATATATATATATATATATATATATATATATATATATATATAAGTCTCAGGACCGCCCCAACCATAAAAAAAAAGTGTGACTTGTAGTCCGAAAAATACGGTAATTCTACCCCAGGAGTCTGACCATTTCTAAACCTCACATTTAAGCAGTTAGCTCTCACCTCACAGCAAGAAGGTCCTGGGTTTGACTCCAGAGTGGTGTTTAGCTTTAGCGTGTGGGGTTTGCGTGTTCTCTCTGTGCCTGCCTTGGTTTACTAGGGGTACCCTGGTCAAAACATACATTTATTCATATGCTCTTTCATAATGTTACGGCAGCTCAGTTTTCATTACATGCTTCTCACATCTCTTCACGCTTGCTCCAGGTCTGGTCATGTCGGCCATCACAGTCATCATCCTGGTGGTGCTATTCGTCGTAGACACGTTCTGGATCCAAAACCTGCCCTGGGTCAAAGACTGCACGCCCATCTACATCCAGTTCTTTGTCAAATTCTTCATTATCGGCGTCACTGTTCTGGTGGTAGCTGTTCCAGAGGGATTACCGCTGGCTGTAACCATCTCTCTGGCCTACTCAGTGAAGGTAAGTCCAGTCTATTGACCTGTGCCCTGTGTCCACCAGCTTAGACTTAAACCTATTATAAGAGTCTGTAACCCGTTAATACATAGAACTGCACTGGAGTAAAGCTGTAATCTTTTCTGCATGTGCCATGAGCCAAATGAGACCTTTAATAATTAGAAGTTAATTCAAAAACGTCTAGTTCAAACGTTCAAATCTTCTTCAATCTTACTTCACGTAGTTGTACGGACATATGCATATTATGTGAATGATATTGCCCTCATATCTCTCCAATCCCCTTTCAAAATAAGGTAAAAATGAATGCACTATCAGAAATAAATGAGATTAATAAGAGAAACACACACACACAAACATAATGATATTGCCACAAAGACAAGACCTTGTAGGGAAGTCAGAATTGGTCAGTTAAAATGATACTTGCAACAGTCTCTTTGAGATCTTAAGAGTGTTGGTACATAAAATACAGTGATATCGTATCATCAAAAGTCTCGCAAATATATCGTGGGCTGTCACAATATATCAAATCACTAGTTCCTTTGCTTAAATACATGGTTTTACAGTAGCAACAGCTTATACATATAACATAGGGGACTACATATCCCATGATTCATCTCAGTGCAGACAACATAAAGAGATATGTTTTTTACTTGAATTCTTGGGATTATGACAGAAATAATTCCCACCAAAATCTTGTCATTGTCAGGTATTTTAAAAACAAAAAAGTGGCCCATCTACAATTAGTGATTCATTGTTGTAAAGCTCTTTGAGTAGCCTGATTCATCAGCCGGTTTCACTTCGTAGAAACTGTCTGACCTCGCAGCATTAGGATTCGTTTGCTCAACAGTAGGCGGGTACTTTTTTATTTAACCATTCGCTGCTATTTGGTTGTGACGTATGTAATGCATCACTAACAGGGCTAAGTGGTATATTAAGCTTTTTCCAAATCCCGTAGGATGAAGGGCAATAACGTCTTTCCTCTTGATAAAATTCATCAAACATTCTCTTTGTTCTGGTTTTAAATCCTCGATCTCAGGAATCGCTGCCAACACAGAATGCATGGCTCTTCGCTGTTTGGCTGGCGCCCGAACTCGCACTTCAGGGGTTTTTGTTTCTAGTGTATTCCGATTCCTGACCTAGGTGCTAGTGAGAAATGAAATTGAGCAGAGGCACTAGGTGTCACCAGCCTGGCTACTCTTTGAGTGCCTTGAAGGTGGAAAAGCGCTATATAACATGACCATTTACCAATATATAGCCTGGCTCCAAATTCGTCTCTGTAAACGCTTCATTTGACTGGAGCCAAACGCTATGGGTGATGTCACGCTCACTTAGTCCACTTCTTTATATACTTTATGAGCCTAACACTAGATTTGTTGATGGGTCCCCACTGCTCCTGACAGGTTGCCCCAGTGATTGAAGGACGGGCCAAACGCAGAGGACAAATTTTCCTGTGGGGACAATAATTGTGTAACATAGACTGTCAAAACACATTACCCTGTCAATTTGCTTTTCTGTGCTACAATAAGATTTGAGCCGTAGAGGGTTGAATAAATTATAGACACAAATTAAAGACACAAACCACTGAAGTGTTTCATTCTGCTGTTTCTTTATCACACTTCAAAATGTGATTATTATTATTATGACAGGTCTGGTTGTTTGCTTCATTTGTTTTGTCCGTTTTTGTTGAACAGAAAATGATGAAGGACAACAACTTGGTGAGACACTTGGACGCCTGTGAAACTATGGGCAACGCCACTGCCATCTGCTCCGATAAAACGGGCACTCTCACCATGAACCGCATGACTGTGGTACAGGCCTACGTCGCGGAAAAGCACTACAAGAAAGTCCCAGAGCCCGAAAACATCCCTACTTCCACTTTAGATATTCTAATTCTGGGCATTGCTGTCAACTGCGCCTACACCACCAAAATCATGGTAAGTTGTAACAGTCAGTTTTAGATGCTATGTGTTAGTGTTAGTGCTGCATAATTTTGGCAAAAGACAGTGTTGTGATTAGATAGAAATGGCCTCTATCAGGGGTGTCAAACATACTGGATCCCGCCTTCCAAGACCTTTAATCTGGGCCTCGGCTGCTTTTCTACTAAAATATTTTAATTATATTTTCTATTAAAATATTGGTAATTTTCTGTGCCTCTGTGCATGACCCCTCCCACCAGAGCAGCACAAATGAAGACTTGTCTCTTTCCAAACGCTCTTAAAGGACGATCGTTTTGACTGTTGACCGTGACACCCTCATCAGCAAAATCAAAATGAGTCAAAAATGAGAAAAGTGGACACCGAGTGCAGGATTTTCCAAGAAAAATTGACTTATTCCTGTTTGCATACAAGTTAATGTTAAAACATTGTGTTGAATTTGCATTTTTCTTATAGTTTCAGGTTGTTCATGATATTATAATATTTTGTAAATGAAAGAGTTAATCAATTAAAAAAATATTTCTGTAATAGATTTGCATTTCTCTGCACAAATATTTGAACTTATTGCTATTTTTGGTGGTATATATGCCGTGGGTTTTCTGATCCGGCCCCTTTGGGATCAAAGTAGGTTGGATATGGCCCCCGGACCAAAATGAGTTTGACACCCCTGGTCTATATTATGCTTTTTTCTGATCTAGGTTATAATGTTGTTTCCTCATACTCAGAGTTTTGTTTTGTTTCGTTTCATTCACACATGTTTAACACACAAACCCTGCATATTTAGGGTGAGTTTTTCTCTCAAACAGAAAACACTGTTCCACCTTGTTATGTCAGGTGGAAATACAGATATTGCTCCACTCCGTACACCTTCACTAGAATCATTTGGATAATTTCAGCCCTGAAATTGCCAATCTTTACTGAACAAAAAATAAAATAGGTAAACGTTAACTTGAAAACTTCTGCTTTGTGACACAAGGTGGAACGGAACGTTTTGTGCTTTGGAGTTGTAGACAGACTAATAAAATAATAAATGATGGTGTGAAAATGAACCGAAACACAACTCCAGGTTTGTTTTTGATGAGGAAACAATCATTATAACATGACTTTGAGTTTACAGGAGTTCATTTTGTGTAATATAAGACCTTAAAAAGTAGGATCCTGTTTATAGTGTGCATTGTAAACAAATCCAGGAGCATTAGCATTTGCGAGAAAATGGAAGTATGAGCTGATAAACTAATACAAGAATCGCATGCATTTCAAAGCATGTTTTTAGAAGTCTGAACTGCAGGTGCAACATGGTTTTTCTATTAAAAAAGATTTGTTATGTATACAACATTTTATCATCTATATAATTACAGACTTTGTGATTTGATAATTGTACCAACTCAAATTGTAGTTTCAGTTCTATTGTGACATATTGTGCAGCCTCCTACAAATATATATATAGGAAAGGTGAGCGCTTCAGGCAGTTCTCATGAAAAATTCTGAACATGTGCTCCTCAAGGACAGGGCTCAGATGCTACAGACAGTGAAAATGACCATGCTTGAAATATAAAGACTTACTGTGACAAAGTTAAAAAAGTCAAAAAGGCCTGAGGCAAGAAGGTAAAAGTCCTCTGTTTTCCGTATGATATGTCCTGACAAAGACACCAGTCTGTGTTGAAATGCACTGGCTCGTCCCATATCCTCAATAAAAGACCTATATTTATCTAACCATTAAGTCCCACTTAGATTCAGAATCTCTTTTACAATAGAGACCAGGCCAGGGTTGCATTCAACACAATCAATTTAGTATAGAAAGTCACACACATTTACATTATAGAAACAGTTGTATCTCTCAGGCCCCATCCACGTATTGGAGCCATTTTTGTTGCGGATGCAGTGCTTGTCCACACTGATCGAATGGAAAACTGCTCCAGAGATGGAACGATCTGGTGCCGCCAGCTCCCACAAATTCATCTGAGTACAGATCTGTGTGGACACCCTAAAAACGTTGATACACTGACGTAGGAGCTCTAGTTGACCGCCTTATTGGACCACTTCACTGTAACTTGCGCCTTCCTGATTCGCTGGGTTTGTGACATCTGTCATGTGACGCTGTTGTGGAAAGCCATTTAAACAAACCATAGACAAACGGGAAACAACGTAGCTAGAACTACTTGCACAGAACACCCGTCTATCACAGAAAAAACACATATATTCCACTGAGTCATGTCATTTAGTCTGACAGAAGCTGTACCGTGTCAGGGCACAGGGAACAAGCTGTTTTTTCAGTGCTTAGTTTATGCAAATTAGCCATATGGTTTTAATTTTCATTTCTGTAAAACATAAACAAATATGCACAAAGTTGTGTGGATAGGGAAGGCTTGCGGACACAGAAACGACATGTCTGCATGCAAATCGTTTCATATACAGTGATACAGTGATTCGTTTCAGTGTAAACTTAACCTCAGTAAAAACACAAACCTTTCTCAATCACTTTTTACAATTTTGTTACTTATTATTATTATTAATTGACACTAATTATGCATACTTGACACCAGTCTGTAGTTATTTTTGAATTAATTTTTTTTTACAATTTATATTTTTGCTCTTTGTTATTATAATATACTGTGATGTGTGAGCTACTGTGTCCAAATAATTTCCCTTGTGGGTCTATAAAGTCTCAGATTGTACATGTACATTTATTCACGTCCTGATTTTCTCTCTCTCTCTCTTTTTGTGTCTCCAGTCTCCTGAAAAAGAAGGGGGCTTGCCTCGGCAGGTGGGGAACAAAACCGAATGTGCCTTGCTCGGCTTCGCTAACGACCTGAAGCGAGACTACCAGGTCATACGCAACGAGATCCCCGAAGAGAAACTCTACAAAGTCTACACCTTCAACTCTGTGCGCAAGTCCATGAGCACAGTCCTCAAGATGGCTGACGGCAGCTACCGCATGTTCAGCAAAGGAGCGTCTGAAATCCTGCTCAGAAAGTAAGACGCTGTTTTGAAAATATTAGTGAATTAGTGAACGCTATTTATGTTATAATGTTGTTTCCTAATCACAAACATACCTGACGAAGACAAACTAACAATAAAGATGCTACTGGGACAGCTCAACCTCATTTAGAGTTCATTTTAACCACTTTTTTGTCCTCCTTTGGGTCATTTCTTGTTTAGAACTACAGAGAAAATTATGTAGTCCACTTTAAAACCTGGTTTAGCCCTAGATAAGACCTGGAGTAGTCCGGTTGTAGACCTGGTTTAGATATGGTGGAACTCAGAAAAAGCCAAATACTAATTTTTTCTACTCATTTTATTTTCCGGTCAGCTCCTTTTACAGTCATTACATTTGTTTTCATTTATAGACAGTACACTCAATATTCAAATTCAGCATATCTTCAGAACTATTACAACACTATCCATTTTTCAATATATTCCCCAGCCCCGTTTGAAGGTGGGAGCAGAGGAAAAGTTGCTGTGAGCTCTGTGTGGGTTCAAACGCTGCTGGTTAAGAGGCTTATGGAGCTGTTATGGCTCATTTTCTCAGTGCCTGTTTTTAAGTCGTGTTAAGAGCTTGGGTGGGATGCACTTCAGCGTCTTAAGGTCTTAAGCTATTAAACTATAATTTAAAACGTGTGACCAGTCAAATAGTCTAAATGGCCACTATTTATAGCACAGGGATGTCAAGATTAACTGGTAATAGGACAGATTTTTTCTTTTCAACTGTTATAGGCAAAAGTTGAACAGCAAAAACTTTAGTATTTTTTTTTTTTTTTGATCCTCATTGGTTTTGGTTTGGTTTGATGTTTTCTATACGTTTGGAAAAATAGATCATTTTATTTAATTAAGGCTAAAAATATATAAATAAGAAATGAAAATAATTGTGAACATTTTAGAAGCAAAAATTAGCTGTTTTAATTAAATATATGCTTCAAAACAAACTATAAACTGCTTTTTCATCTGGCTTTTAAAGGTCATATATTATTTTATATTACACGAAATGTATTCCTGTGAGGTTTAAGCCAGGTTCTAATTTTGTGTCCTCCTCAAAAACATTTGGAATTGTTTTTTGTTTCATTCAGACGTGTTTGAGTAATCCTTTGAGTATCCATTACTAATCGTTCTTCATAAAGATTGTCAATTCCAGGGCACAAATCATCCAAATGATTCTAGTGAAGGTGTATGGAATTTAAAAACACAGTGGAGCACTTTCCCAAAAACACAACTCCAAGTCTGTTGTAACATTAAAACAGCTCAGAAAATTGTATGTCATGTGCACTTTAAAATATTGCCTGTGTCTTGATTGAGATGATACAGAAAAATGAGATATACATTTTTGTCAATATCGTTCTTTCCAGATGTTATAAAATCTTAACGGCGAACGGTGAGCAGAAGGTGTTTCGTCCACGCGACCGTGACGATCTGGTGAAGAAGGTGATCGAGCCCATGGCGTCGGAGGGGCTTCGGACCATCTGCCTGGCCTACAGGGACTTCCCCGCATCAGACGGAGAACCGGACTGGGACAGTGAGAACGACATCCTCAGCGGCCTCACCTGCATCTGTGTGGTGGGCATCGAAGACCCCGTCAGACCAGAGGTGAGGGCCTGGGTTTGGGTTTGTAGTGGACCAAACAGAAAGGCAGAAACAAGGTATAAAAATAAGTTTAAAATTAATAAAGTAAAAAAAGAGATGATTTAACAAAAGCTCAAATTAGGTAAATGATGAACAAAAAAAAGCCGGGCTCAACTGCGTAAACTTTAATTAAACTGAACAGAACAAAGAACTGGTGTGTTTAAATACGTAAGGACCAAATAAAACTGAACACAAGAGGGGAAAACTACACTAAAGAGTTAACTAAAACTACTAACTTCAATTAAAGTAACAAAAAGGCAAATAATTATAATACAGAAATTAATAAGCGATAATAAAGTGACCTTAAAGCAAACTAGACAAACAAACTTGATAAAACTAACTACATAGTGTTCCTCCCCTTTGTTTGGCGTTGATGGTCTCTGCCAAGGGTCCTCCGCCCGGTATTAAAAAAAAAAAAAAAAAAGGAAAAAGTGTATAAAATGTATAAAGTGTAAGTAAATAATTCTGACTTATAGCAACTAAAATGTGTGCACCCAAATTAGAATATAAGTCTGAATGAAGGAATTAAATTATGTGCTGTAATTAACTTAATGTAAATGAAATGAAATAATCCTGACACTGTGGAGTGGTGGCAGAGGTATCCACCACAGGGTTTAAAGTGCTGCAAAGTCAGTTTATATTGATCACTATTTGATATCCTGAAGAGAGATGTGACACGGTGTAAAGTTTGTGACCATCTCGAGATAGTGCCTCTGGTCATCTGGAATCATAGTTACATTCTTAACTATCTAAAATCTGTTTTTGCTGTTTTTATTATTATACATTTTACATCTGAAACCGTTTTTGACACTTTAAAAATTGTTAGTATTATCTTGGTGTGCTGTTCTGTTTCCACTGACCCCTTGCAGCTATTTTTCTATTTAGTCCTGAAAGGGCATCATAAAAACTCACAAGGACATAAAATATTTATTGCTCTGTATTTTCAGTAAAAAACTACAGAGCTCGGTGTCACTGCCCTCTGCTGGCCCTGTTTCTCAGTAAGATTAGCGTACATCTGAAAATCACAGTATTTTTCTTCTGGCTAGGTAATATTTAAAAAGTTTTGAAATGTCCAATCCTGACTAAACCTGGTGCCCGTTTCCAGGTCCCAGATGCCATAAAGAAGTGCCAGCGCGCGGGCATCACGGTGCGGATGGTGACCGGAGACAACATCAACACGGCTCGGGCCATCGCCACCAAGTGTGGGATCCTGCAGCCGGGAGACGACTTCCTGTGTCTGGAGGGCAAAGAGTTCAACCGCCGGATACGTAACGAGAAGGGAGAGGTGCGAGGATACACTTCACTGTTTACTACTACTATTATTATTATTGTACACACCACTTAAATGTCATCGCCATTTCTTATCAAATTTCTGATTTGAGCATTTGTTTTCGTGAAGTAACTTTATGTACACTGTGCTCTTATTGTTTAAAAAAGGAAAAAAAAAGGTACTATAATTAAAATGTTACATCCAGTTCCTTTAATACTATCTGCAAAAACATATCACATTTCAAATCAGTTATTGTGTCTCGTCTTTCTTTTGTTTTTGGTTTCTAGATTGAACAGGAACGCATTGACAAAATCTGGCCCAAGCTACGAGTCCTGGCACGGTCTTCACCAACAGATAAACACACTTTAGTTAAAGGTATGTCCATTTACCAACTATTTAACGCAAAAATATTAAAATCGTCATTGTCTCTCATCACTTTATAATAAAAATCAAACGAAAAATTAAACATTGTTGTATTTTCCAGGTATTATTGACAGCACAGTGATAGAGCAGAGACAGGTGGTGGCTGTAACAGGAGATGGTACGAACGATGGTCCTGCCTTGAAGAAAGCAGATGTTGGTTTTGCCATGGTGAGTTTTAATAATATCATGAGAAATCTATTGATATTCTGGTGTGATTTAACAAAGAGTGACCTAACTTTGATAGGCAGATTTGGGGTAATTTAATAGCATTTTCCCAATCATAATGAATCAGTACTCTGACACTTTATTTCTTGAATCTTGAAGTTGCATTTTTATAATTCAAGTTGGCCATAACCCTGTCTCTGACCTCTTCACTCTCTTCACTTTCAGGGCATTGCTGGCACAGACGTGGCCAAAGAAGCCTCGGACATCATCCTGACAGACGATAACTTCAGCAGCATCGTGAGGGCCGTGATGTGGGGACGAAACGTGTACGACTCCATTTCAAAGTTCCTCCAGTTTCAGCTCACGGTCAACGTCGTGGCTGTGATCGTCGCATTCACTGGAGCATGTATCACACAGGTCTGTACACGGGACACATCCGCCTGGTATTAAAGGTTCTATATTACCATATTTTTCGAACTATAAGTCACACCATCCAAAAAATGCGTAATGAAGAAGAAAAAAACATATATAAGCCACATCAGACTATAAATCACACTTTTTAGGGAAAATGTATTTTATAAAATCAGAGACCAGGAACCGTCATTTCATCTTGAAAGGCCAGTTATAGTAAAAACAATAGAATAGAGAACAACAGGCTGTTAACGTCACATATGAACATTTCTTCAGATAAACAACAGAACAGAACAAGTTTACTTTCCTTTTACTCTCCATCTCACTCCAAATCCATTGAATTCTTCATCCTCGGTGTCACTTCTGAGTAACTCTGTGACCTCCGGAGGTAAACAGAGCACCACTTCCTCTTGTGCTGTCATCAGACTCAGCATCAGTTCCAATTAGAATTATTCCGACCTTTCTGAATCCCGACTGGATGGTTTCAGTGTTACTGACGTCCAGGCTTTGTCGATCCATCCAATGACTTCCAGGAAATTGCACGTCGCACCCTCCCAGTTTTCACAAGTTTCTCGCTCACTCCAAACTTTCTTTCTGAACCGGCTTTGTCTGCATATTTCACTACTTGCAGCAGGACAGCGGCTCTTTCTGCAGGAGACATGCGCAGTAGAGCCAAATGACAGAGTTATAGGCGTAATAAGAGCAGCAGATACTGACACATGAGCCTAGAGCGCCCTCCCGAGGCTGTTAGTGTGAAAATTTTAATATATAAGTCGCAGGAAACACCCAAACCATGAAAAAAGTGAGACTTATAATCCGAAAAATACATTACAAAAAATTGACTTTTGTGAGCTTTACGACATGTTCTCATGCTGTTGCCTCCTCAAACATACCTGGAGTTGATCACATATGTTTGAATAATGTTTTATTATTAGTCTGTCTACATCCCCAAAGCTCAAAATGCTCTGTTCCACCTTGTGATGCCAACAACAATTTTTTATCTTTAGTTCAGAAGGTGGAACAGAGCATTTTCCGTTTAGAGAAGAACTCAGCCTAAATTTGCAGAGTTTGTGTGTTAAAATATGTGTGAATGACACAAAACACAACTCCAGGTTTGTTTGTGATGAAGAAACATTATAACATAGATCCAAAATAGAAAGTAGTGGAATATGGGCCCTTTAATGTTAAGTTTAGGGCTGCTCTGAGAAAATATATGGCAATTTTTCTGACAAGTATGTGATTAGATTTGAGATGTACATCTAAAAAGTCAGTTGTATTCAGGGTGCACATTGTTACAACTCTAGGATTATTAACACTTGAGAGAAGACTGAAATATGAACTTATAAACTAACACAAGAATCTCATGCATTTCAGAACAGGTTTGTAGAGGTTTAAACTGTAAAAAGACAGGATATTTTATTCTTTGCAGAGACTTTCTATTATCTATATAATTGGAGCCTTTGCAGTTCGATAATTGAGCCTCATATTGTGATTTTATTTCAATTGTGGTATATTGTGCATCATAGTGGTAGGCTTTTATACCTGTAGTTTATATGGATAGCCACCGGGGATTTGTGGAAAATATCTAATTATCATTTTTCTGACAGTATTGTTATCAGTTTCAAGACGTCTCTCTTCGCTGTGCACATTTGAAACTTGTCTTGGAGCGTTAATATTTGAGAAGAGACTGAATAATGAGCTGCTAATACAAAAATCTGAAGTCTACACTATAATGATGGCAGCTTTTATACACAGGAGATGGAATATTTAGAACTTTATATTACTAATCAGTAGGTTTTGATGATGGCAATTATGGCTCTTACCGTTGTGCCGTAGTAATGAATGAATCAAATGTAAATATTTTTTCAAATCATTTAATCTCGTGTATGGTTCAAAGTCCCAGAAAAGCAGGACAAAGACACGTGATTGACAGCTGTGAATAAATGCAGCATAGATGTTTGACATGAACCAACTGGGACTGTGATTTCCATCTGAGTCTGAGTAATCCTAAAAAGTTTTAAAGGTCGTATATTAAACAAAACTGATGCATGTGATTTTGTTATAATGTTGTTACCTCATCAAAAACAGACCTGGAGTTGTGTTTTGTTTGATTCACATATATTTTAACAAACATATTTAGGCTGAGTTCTTCTCTCAAACGGAAAACACTCTGTTCCACCTTGTGATGTCATGTGATGTTTTGTTTCATTCACACACATTTCCAAGTCTCAAGTAAGTCTCAAGTCTTTGACCACAAGTTTGAGTCAAGTCCCAAGTCGAGTCTCGTGTCATTGGCCCATAAGTCCAAGTCAAGTCCAAGTCCTCTGCTTTGAGCTTCAAGTCATTTCAAGTCTTTAAGTCAAAGTACCAAATATATCTTAGATTTTTGCAGTTTATATGAATTTTAAACTAAATTGTACTTTAAAATCATAGTATATTTATGAGTATTTATATAAGAGTTGTAGAAATTCAAATTTTTCCTTTTTAAATGTCTTGTTAAGTTCTTAGAGCCAAACATTACAGTCAGAATAGGAAGTCTTCTCAAGTCACAGGGCTCAAGTCCAAGTCAAATCCCAAGTCATTGAGCTTTCAAGTCCAACAGTCTAAAAGTAGTGACTCAAGTCTGACTCAAGACCAACTCACTACTTGCAAACTCCCCACCTGTGATCTGTCTATATCTCCAAAGCTCAGAATGCTCAAAATGTTCCACGTTGTGATGTCACGTAGTGGTAGTTTCAAGTTAACAGCTACATTTTTACCTTTTGTTCAGTGGAGATTGGCAATTCCAGGGCTGAAATTATCCAAATGATTCTAGTGAAGGTGTATGGAGTTTAAAAACACAATGGAGCACTTCCTTTATTACCACATGACATCACAAGGTGGAGGGTGTGGTGAGTGTTTTCAGTTAGATAGGAGAATTGAAGCCTAAATATGCAGGTTTGTGTGTTTAAACATGTGTGAATGGAACAAAACAAAACTCTAGGTATTGTTTTTGATGAGGATGTAAAAAACAATAGTATAATAGAAATAGAAAATAATTTAATATTGGCCCTAATATCTATATTTATGTTGTCTCTGCTTCAGGATTCCCCGCTGAAGGCTGTGCAGATGTTGTGGGTGAATCTGATCATGGACACGTTTGCTTCTCTGGCTCTGGCCACGGAGCCGCCCACAGAGTCTCTGCTGCTACGGAAACCATACGGACGCAACAAGCCCCTCATCTCACGCACCATGATGAAGAACATCCTGGGACAGGGCGTGTACCAGCTCGTCATCATCTTCACTCTGCTCTTCGCGGGTGAGTGCAGCTAAAACGAATGTGAAAAGGGTTAAAATAAAAGACAAATCAACGCAAAAACTAGAATCAAAACTAGATACGAGGGATGGGACAAGATCTTGTGCTACAAGATCTTACGAAATTGCCTCAAGAGAATCTCGCAAGATTTAATTTCCCATTTGGTTTGGACAAAAAAGGGTTAAGTGCTGGTGAGTTGCATCTTTTGAGAAGCCGTTGTTCCAAAAAGCACTGCTGGAATGATGACAAAAATATGAATATATATGAAAATGAAGTAAATACAAATTATAAAGCCAACTTGGCAACTAAATTAGACCATTTAATTATTAGTTATTATGTCGAAATCTAGTCTTGTCTCATTTTTGTGGACCCAATCTAATGTCTCGTCTTGTCTTGTGTAGATTGTGTCCCATCCCTACTAGACACCCATTCTAACAAGTGTAGATTCTGAAGAAAATTACATAAACAGTGTGTTTTTTTAACTGAACCACACTAAAGAAAGTACTATTAACTTGTGGAAACTTACATTCTGTCAGTCTAAAAAGTATCACCATCTCAATATCAAATCTGCACTCACAGAGCTCAGTTAAAAAATAAAAGTAGATATAAATGATGGACAAGTGGCAATGCAGGCCCCTCTTGTATTACTGACAAATGGAATGTGGAATCAAAACTGCACATAAGCTCAGCGATTGTGCAATTTGTAATAGAACATAAGACTGTCAAGAGTGACTTAAAGGTCCTTGATGGGGTATGGCTGGTCTCTTATTTATTTAAAGCATGGGAAACAATAAAGGATTATCTTATCTTATTATTTAAATCAATATCGAGTATAGAGCCTTTTCTTTGGTATTGAAATCCAGTTTGTAGGGATGTAACAATAACCGAAATATCATGATATCGTACTGTCAAAAGTCTCACAATAATATTGTGAACTCTCACAATATATTGAATTACAAGTTCCTTTGCTTAAATGCATGGTTTTACAGTAGCAGCAGCTTATGAACATCGGGAACGACATATCCCATGATTCATTTCAGTGCAGACAACGTGAAGAAATATGTTTTACTTTACTTACTTACTTGAATTCTTGGGATTATGACAGAAATGATTCACACCAAAATCTTGTCATGGTATTTTAAAAGCAAAAAAGTGTCCAATCTACAATTATATCAGCCTCTCCAAAATATCGCAATAAATATCGTTCCGAGAGATTTTGATATTGTTACATCCTCACCAGTTTGAGATTTTAGTAGCATGACAAGACTTGGCATCGTTAAAGCAACCACCTCTAGGAAAATTCCAAGTTAATCTGATGTTATATTACGTTATTACTTTCCATGATTCAGTTACACCAAATTACTCAACATTTCTCAATCTTCATTCTTTTCATTCTCCCGCTGACCGGTTGAATCTTGCTTGAGTGCATTTTGATATTGTGTCCTTGTGCAAGACACTTAACACCCAGTGCCCACTCTGGTTTCTGTATGTGTCTGATTGCAACAGACACTCTGAAAAAAAAAATAAAGAAAAATATATAAAAGATTTTTTAATTCTAGCCTTTACATTTGTCATTGGATTTCATTCGACTAATTTTTATTTTGAAATTCCAAATAAATAAAATAAAGAAACTTATAATTTATATGCTTAGTTAATTTCGATATGAACAATATTAATTACAAACACATTTATTTAATATGACATCTTTTCTCATATTACAGAGACTTAAATTCAGTTGTTAGTATTGTTTAGAGCAGTGTTTCCCAAACTTTTTTTCTGGGGACCCAAACCTTTCTTAACCCAACTCAATAGACATTATTCGTAAATCAAAATAAAGATGGATTTGACCATTATTGAACATTAATGAGGAAAATTTATTGTTGACTGAGTCATCGTGTCTCTCTGAACAATTAGTATGACTCAAGTTTTAAACAATGAAAAACAGTATTGAATCAGCAATAAAAGGTCTCTATGAGTGCACTTTTTTTTCTGAATTGAACCAGCAATATTGGAACAAAATAGTAAATAAAATAGTTACAAAAAGATTAGAAATTTTACAAAACGTGTGTTAAAATTGTTACCTACATGCAGATCGTGACAAGGCGACCTAAAAAAAGAGTCGCGGCCCAGTCTTTGGGAAACAGTGGTTTAGAGGAGGAGTTACTGTATGTGGCTGATTGCAACAGATAAAGACTATTAAAAGCTTAAACAAAAAGAAAAAATAACGGGAAGGAAAAACCAACAATATTTTAATTGTACATTTGTCATTGTATTTCCCTTGACGATTTTTGAGTTTGAAATAGAGAAACCCACAAAATAAAGGAACTTATTATTATTTTTGGGTCCGTCAAATGTTTGTCTCCATGGAAATTTTATTGCTTTGTCTGAAATCAGTATGGTATTAAACTTTTCCATCTTGATTGAGACCAAACCAGGCCAAGTTACAGGTCAAGTCTGCGGAGAGGCGACCCCGTTCACACTCTGAATACCTGTTTTTCTTGGTATTTCTGAACTATAAAACCACCTGTAATTTAATAAATGTAGAATATTCCAGGCAGAGCAATGACACATCCATACTAGAAACAAGCAGGTGTCGGATCCACAACCAAAAAGTTACGTAATGCACCTTTAACTGTAGCCTTTACATTTGTCATTGTATTTCCTTTGACAATTTTTGATTTTGAAATTGAAAACACCAAATAAAGGGACTTATGATTTATGTTATTTTGATGTGGCAAACATTACGCAACAAACACATTTACATAATATGACACTTTTTCCAAAATTTAATTGTTTTTATTGTTTTTTAGGAGAGAAGTTGTTCGACATTGACAGCGGCAGGAACGCCCCGCTCCACGCGCCCCCATCTGAACACTACACCATCGTTTTTAACACTTTCGTCCTGATGCAACTTTTCAACGAAATCAACGCTCGGAAAATCCACGGAGAGAGGAACGTGTTTGAGGGAATCTTCAACAACCCCATATTCTGTAGTATCGTCTTTGGAACTTTCATTGTCCAGGTAAAGACATAAGAGTAATAATAATAATAAAATAATGCACTCAAACAAACAATCTAACAATGCAGGACAGGTTCTAAAACATCAGGACATTAATGAGGGTAGGTATAAGAGCTAGTACAATAATTACCTTTAAAGTGCCTATGACAGATTTCACTAAAACACAGTTAAGACCATTATATTTAAGATTTTACTAAACATTTTAACTTTTCTTTTCCCAACTTGGCAATTTTTTACGTTTAAAATTTTTCTTCCTGTTTGGAAATCATCACAGGGATTGTTATTTGATGATTAAAATATAAGAAAACACCTTTAGTTTGTTGAAATAAAGTTTAAAAGTAAAAAATAAATAAAATAAAAGTGTTTTGTAAGTATAAATTATGCTGAACTTTTGGAGAGAGTTCTGCCTATTGTGATGTTATCAATATGAGACTCTACTTACGGTAATTTTCAACATATTTTTCCAACTTTTCTTCACTATAATTTATATTTATAACAGGTATTATTCTACCAAATTAAGTAAAAATTTGAGAATCACCCGAACCTGTCGCACGCACTTTAAGTTGGGCTGCATTTCACGAAAAAACAAACAATTTTACAATGGTAAATAACAGTGTTGTACAATTTATATCTGTTTCATTCTCTTGTTCAATTAAATGTGCATTATGTAACTTTTCTGGTGGAGGGTCAGCCACCTGCTTGTCTCCATGGAGATGTTTTTGCTTTCCTTAGAATGATCGGCCAGTATTAAACACGTATATATTTATAGAGATGGGAAGATGAAGCTATCAGGCCAATTTACAGCTTATATCTGTGTGAGAATATGTGTTTCTCGTGGTTTTTGGAGCAGTGAAAAACCTGTGATTAAAAAATTGCAAGTTTAATGCCATACTGTGGAACATTCCAGGTAACGCAATTACATCACCATGGAGACAAGGAGGCGGCTGACCTCCACCAGAAAAGTTGCATAGCCCACCCTTAAACTAATAATTGGATATTTTTTAAACTTAAAATATGATAAGGTGGTCAATATAATAATAATTTCTATACTTTTATAACCTCATTCTTCACAAATATTATTAATGGATGTCTTAGATTTTTCTTTTTAAACTAAATTAATCCCGCTGGACTTGTTCCTGCATGTCTCAAAATTTGCATCAAGTAACTTTTTAAAGAAAACTCCCGCACACTGTCTCACTCTTTATTTTTCTTTTACAATTACAGTTAGACCCCAATAAAGCTATACACCAATCTCCTGTGAATTAAAACACCTGGATAATTATTAGAAAAATATATAAAGTTAATTATCAACATTGAAAAGTTACGTTTCATTATACAGACAAAATTTAACATGAACCTCCCTCATGGCTCAGAGGAAGGGAGCATATACAGCAAGGTACAGCAATTTATCATTTAAGCCTTTAGGACTAAGAGTTTGTAGAGTGAAAATTCAATTGGCTTCACGTCGATTTAGCGTCAGATCATGGTCACCCCCCCCAATTGTAAATGTATTATTTTTCACTGCTCTGATTGGATCATTACTCTTGAGGGGCAGCGGAAAGAACTGTCCTCATATCTGAAGAAGGTCTGAGGGACCGAAACGTCGTACCAATAAATGAAAAATCAAGAGTGAGACAGTGTGCGGGAGTTTTCAGCCTCTCGTCCAACACACCTGTCGCCCAGTCAGGTCTGCAGAATCTGCACAGAAACGAAATACTTAAAAATCCCCACACTCTTTTAAAGCTCTACACAGAAACGAGCATCAAGTAACTTCTGAAAATACCTGCAATTGTCATCATAATCATCATCATAAATAAACCAGCTGTGCGTCCTTACCTCTTACACAAATCATTCATGAAGCGTAGCGTGAGATAATGTGATCTGGTTTTTCTGTTTTCTCTTTTAGATCGTCATTGTGCAGTTTGGAGGAAAACCTTTCAGCTGTGTGGCTCTGACCATCGACCACTGGCTCTGGTGCACCTTCCTGGGCTTTGGCTCTCTGCTCTGGGGACAGGTACGAGCTTCACTGCCTCGGCCGTGTCTCATTTCTCATTCCTCGCTTTCTTCTCCTCGATTCCTCTCCTCGATCCTCCGTTTTTCAGCTGTCAGTCAGATACGCCAGATTAAGTGATGTCCCAAAGCTCAGAGAGAAAGCAAGTGAAGAAAACCACAGAGGACTTAAAGGTGCATTGTGTAGAGTCCGTCAAAGTGCTTTTCTTGTTTCACAGTGTGGTATTAAACCTTTCTATCACCATGGAGACCAAACCAGACCAAGTTACTGGTCAGATCTGTGGACAGGCGACCCCACTCACAGTCACAATGTTTGTTTTTGTAGGTATTTTTGAGCTGTTAAACCACCTGTAATTGAATAAATGTAAGGTAGAGCTGTGTAGTGGACCAAACAGAAAGGCAAAGACTAGATATAAAAAAAATGTTTAAAGTAAAAAAAATATGTAATTTAACAAAAGCTCAAATTAGGTAAATCATTAACAAAAAGCCAGACCCAACTGGGGAAACTTAAATCAAAATGAACAGAACAAAAAAAAAAAAACCATCCAGACAAAGAACGAAGTGTTTAATGACACAAGGACCAACTAAAACTGAACACAAGAGGGGGGAATTACTCTAAATAATGAACTAAAACTACTAACTAAATCCAAATAACAAGAAAGCAAATAAGTATAATACAGAAATTAATAAGTGATAATAAAGTGACCTTAAACAAAGTAGACAAATTAGCTTAGTAAAACAAACTAAATAGTGCCCCCTCCCCCACTTTGTTCGGCGTGGATGTTCTCTGCCGAGGGTCCTCCATCTGGCCACGCAAAAAAAACAAAAAAAGAACAAGAGTAAGAAATAATTCAGCCTTATGTTAACTAAAATGTGGGCACCCAAATTAGAATATAAGTGTAAATAAAGGAGTTAAATTATGAGCTGTAATTAACTTAAAATAAATGAAATAAAATCAAATCAAATAGTAGTAACAATGTGGAGTTGTGGCAGAGGAGTCCACCACAAGCTGTTTAATGTCACACTGTGGAACATTCCAGGCAGAGCAATGACATTTGGACCCCCAACCAAAAAGTTACATAGCGCACCTTAAAAGCAAAGGAACTAGGAAAGCTTGTCCCATTCACCCTCAGCTCGTGTCTCCTTCTCTGCTCCTCTTTCGTCGCCGTGTCTCCTGAGGAAAGAGAAATGAGATGTGCCCCTCATATCACAGCTGTGTGGTGGGTGGACACTGCCCCCTGGTGTCAGATCTTATATTCCGGGAGCCTTTTACATACACATACAGCATTTTCTATAACGCAACGGTTTATAGTGACTCAGCTATGGCAGTGTCGGTTATTTTTCAGATCGGTTCAGTGGGTTCATTTGTTGAGTTTGTTTTTTTGTTGATGCGCTGTTGCTAACATTGGCAGATGTCCTTGATGACTCAGACTCCATTGTGAAATATTTATCAGGTTTTAATAGCTCGCACTTACATCTTTTCTCAGCAGACCATTCTTCTTGGGTCAGTTGTTTTAGGTTGACAAGAGTTTTCGCTTTAGTTCCCTGTTTTAAGCAACGCAGCAACAATTATTAATGTAACATTTCTTTACGCAATTAAGTATTTTTAGTTTTTTCAATTAAGCTTGAATGAGATTAGAAAAGATTGCAATATCAGATAATAGGGCTGGGTATCGTTAAGAAGTTGTCGATACTATACATACCTCGATACATAAGCCACGATACGATACACATCTCGATACAGTGCACTTTCAATTTGATACGATATGTTTCAAATCGATTTGATACGGTTCATAAAAAGTAAAGGCTAAATCATGGCTGTGACACTAAAAGTCTTTGTTAAACCACTTCTTGTTCAAAGTTCATATGAAGCACAAACATTTTAATCCTCAAAACAGTGAAAATGTCAAATGTGTTGCATAAACGAATTTCTTTACACTAAACAAGCAACAAAATTGTAGCACTGAAACAAAATAATTTAGTAAAATACAACAAATATACGATATATCAATACAGCAGCCTATGATATTGATATTGTATCATCAAATTAAACTATGCGATATATCAATATTTTTGCAAACCCCTATCAGATGGGACTGTTAGATACTATGATATCTGTATTATTGCAGGATTTTAATCTACTTTTTGACACATCAAGTTCAGCTAGAATGCAACTAAAATGTACATACCTTAATTTACTAGTCAGACTTTCTCAATATTTAAACATAACAAAAGTAGACAAAACCTACCCAGGCTGGCGCCACCTAGTGCCTCCGCTCAATTTCGTTTCTCTCCTGCAACTAGGACCGTAATCAAAATACACTAGACGGTTCGCAAAAACCCCAGAAGTGTGAGTTCGGGCACCAGCCAATCAGCAAAGAGCCATATATTCTGTGAAGGCAATGATTCCCGAGATTGAGGATTTAAAGCCGGAACAAAGAGAATGTTTGGTGAATTTTATCAAGGGGAAAGATGTTTTTGCCCTTCTTCCTATGGGATTTGGGAAAAGCTTAATATACCAGTTAGCCCCGTTAGCAGCGCATTACATACATGTACGTGATGACCAAATAGCAGCGATTGGTTAAATGAAAAAAGTACTCGCCTACCGTCGAGCGAACGAATCCTAAGGCTGCGAGGTCAGATGGTTTGTACGAAGTGAAACGAAGTAAAACCGACTGATGAATCAGGCTAGACAAAACCAAGACTGAGGCTATAACTTAATAAGGAAGCAAAGTAATACATATAATCTGCCTTATTCAACCGCTTCTGTCAGATGGAGAACCTTCTTATAGGGATATATATTTAGTTATTAGCGATGCTGATTCTTTTTCAATACATTGTTCAGCCCTAGTTTCCATTTTTAACCAGAAAAGCTAGAGACATAAAGAGAATTCTTACCAGGTTAATTAATTCCACCTTTTCTCTATTCAAATTCTATTATATCTTGATATGCTTTGAATTACACATTAGATACTTTAGATTTCCATAGTGTGTGTAGCTCTGGTTGTATCTTTAGCCATTTTTAACTAGAAAAGCTCAAGAACGTAAATAGAGTTCATTTTTACTATGTTAACTAAACTAATTCCACCTTTTCTGTATTCAAATCACTACAGATATCTTGATGTGCTTTAAATTACATGGTAGGGACAGTATAGATTTCCATAGTGTTATATAGCGCTGGTCCTCTTGTATCTTGAGCCTGATGGAGCCGGTCTGACGTCAGCGCTGTGCCTGACCTGCAGCTCATTTTAAGGGTCAGTGCTGCTGTCGTGTCTCCACTAATGGAGCTCTGTACATTTACTCAGGTGTCACCTCAAGGACAGTTTGGGTCAAAATTATTACCCTCTGCAATGAACTGAAATTGAAGACATGTTATTTGAGAGCACACATCATTATTCTACCCTGAAAAATAACTAAAAACACAAGGAATTTCTGGCAAACAATTTAGGGTAGATAACTGAATTACAAGGAGCAATATTTCTTCGATAATTTAAACTCTAAACATTTAATCCTTACCCAAGCAAACCCATATTTATGTTAATTCTGGAAAATGCTATCAGTGCTGTAATCGGTTTACTGCGATTTAGGGAGACAGATTCTTGCAATTTCAGAAAGTTTTGACTTGGGCCACGTTTATATGATGACAGTCTGAACAGAAGACACAAAAGTGGCGTCGCTTCTTCACAAAAGTGTGTGGAATTCGGTTTCTGTGTACTGTATGTATGTGACGTAAACTCGTACACGACGTGAGCAGATCTAACCAGATTTTTGTGTCTTGGGCTCAAGTGTACAAAATGTTGATATCGTATCTTTTAATGTGAGGATGCAGTATTGATATCGGGGACTGCTGTATCGATATATTGCCAAGAGTATTTTTTGATATATTTTACTAAATTATTTTGTTACAGCGCTAAAGTTGTATCGCTTGTTGAGAGGAAGGAAACTCGTTTATGCAACACATTTGACATTTTCACTGTTTTGATGATTAAAATGTTTGTGTTTCATATGAACTTTGCCCAAGAAGTGGATTAACAAAGACTTTTAGTATCACAGCCATGATTTTGCCTTTATTTTTTATTTAAACGTATCGAATCAATTTGAAATCTATCATATTAAACCAAAAGTGCACTGTATCGAGATATGTATCATATCGTGGCCTGTGTATCGAGTTATGTATTGTATCGGCAGCTTCTTAATGATACCCAGCCCTAGTTTGAGGCACAAGAACTTTTCCCATCCCTAACTGGCAATGAGGAGAATAATGCCCAATGACTGATCCCTGAGGAAAATGTCTCCAAGAATGGTCCCAAGGAAATTAATGTGATTGATTGTGGTTTAACTAAATTGCATGGAGCAATATTTCTTGACTCATTTTACATTTTTAGTAATGAAAGGAAGGAAAGGATCTTATTTCACATTCCAGTTTTACTCAAGCAAGCCAGTATCAACACTTCACTTTGGTAAATGCTGTCAGTACCGTTAATGAATTGAATTTTAGGCTGACAGATTATACATAAACTTAACCTTTTTTGTTTGTTTTTATATTTAAGCAACCTTATTTATGTTTTTTTATTGCGTTTTGAGTCAAAGTTCTTAAATTGATCCCTGTAGAATCACCAACTTGAAAGCTTCTAAAGCTTCTTACACAAACTCTCAAACCTTTAAACTTAATCATTTTAACCTTTATATATGTATTTTTAGTTTTGACTGGAAGGTTCTTAAATTGGGACTCTATTTCTAGAGCCTTCCACTGCTCACACATTTGAACATTGGAAAGAACTTCTTTGTGCAATGAGAATAATAAGGGCCCGAGGATTGATCCCTGCGGAACACCAACTTGAAAGCTTCTGAAGTTACACCATTATATCTTGTCTTACACAAACTTTCACCACTATGTTACAGGTAATCTCTTCGATACCCACGAGTCGACTAAAGTTCTTGAAGACGGCGGGCCACGGCACACAGAAGGAGGAGATCCCAGACGAGGAGCTGGAGGAGCTGGAGGACATGGACGAGATCGACCACGCCGAGAGGGAACTGCGCCGAGGACAGATCCTATGGTTCAGAGGTCTAAACCGCATTCAGACTCAGGTAATGTCCCGTGCACAAACTCTAAAGCCCCGCAAAGAGACAATCGCACACAAAGGGAAAAAGCCATACTTGAACCCTTTAACTGTGTATTATTGCTCCTCCAGCTCTATATTGACGTTTCTCATTGTCGCGACGCTCTTAAGAATGCTTAAAAACAAACAAACCAAGGCCTTCCTCTGATTCTTCTCTTGTGCTTCTTGAGCTAAAGCCGTTTCTATGCCTTATTTCTGATCTGATTTAAATCTGCTAAAAGTTTGGTTTGAAGGTACTGATAAAGAGCCCTTAACTGTACAGACGCTTTTTGGCACAGAGGATAAAATATAACGAGACATTTTCAGTCGTCCATCAGTGCCTTTAAACTGAATATTTCCTTTCCCTTTTTCCTGAACTGAAAAGCCTAAATCCAATTTCTGAGAATCACTTTTTCTTTGGTTTCTGGCAGAGGTGGGTAGTGATCAGTTTACTTGAATAACTTTTTTAAAATAGTCTTGGAAAAAAAAGTTATTTGCGAGTTTTGAGGTAACATCCCCATTTGAACTTTTGGCTACTCTATCCATTTTACTTCAGTCACAATACTTAAAGGTGTACTGCGTAATATTTCTAGTGGAGGATCCGCCATCTGCTTGTCTCAATAGAAAGGTTTTTGCTTAGTCTAGAATGTTCCATAGTATCGATTAAACCTGTTAATCATGAGGAACACAAGCAGGTTACAGCACTACGGTACATTACATTTCAGGTCTGTGGAGAGTCGCCCCTATTCACAGAAGGAATTATTGCATTTTTGAGCAATAGAAACACCTATTTTTAATGTTACACCATGGAACATTCCAGGCAAAGCAATAACATCTCTGTGGAGACACGTAGGTAGCGGAACAATCACCAGAAAAGTTGCAAAGTGCATCTTTAAGTACAACATTTAACTTTATGCTGGCTGAAAATAGTGGAATAAAAATGTAGGTTTTATCATCATATGGTGGTGTTTTTTTATTTATTTACATTTACTTAACATTTAAAGGGACAGTCTGGAATTTTGGACATAGGACCTCATTTCCTAGTGAGCCAGAGCCACTTTTTTAAATATTTCATCCAGTCCTTGTATTTGCAGAGGTCGCTGGTGCTAGACTAGTGCATGTCAATGGCCATCGTTATCCTGCCACTAAAAACAGTCTTACCCACTCCACAAAACACCTGAAGAAAATCTATTATTACACCAGACTGTCGATGTAAATGTCTGTGTTGGTAGAATAATGTTTGAAATTTAACTAACCTTGCATCGCATGAATCATCGCATGTTGAGGGACTATTTTCTCATATATCAGTCCGCCGCTGCCAAACTTTCTATCAGGAAGTACAACTCGCTGCTGCTGCTCAGACATAAATCCTTCAAATGCAAGGTTGGTTTTACTCAGACATTCACATCGACAGTCTGGCGTGATAAGATTTGCTTCAGGTGTTTGTGGAGTGGGTAAGACTGTTTTTAGTGGCAGGATAACTATGACCATTGGCAAATACTCTGCAAATACAAGGGCTGGATGGAATATTTTAAAAAGTATCTCCACACGTCTCCAACACTCTGGCTCACTAGGAAATGAGGTCCTATGTCCAAAATTCTGGACTGTCCCTTTAACAACACTCCTTACTTATTTAAACTGTATTCTACAAGACAAAACAAAGAGAAAAAAAAATCTTATTCGGCACATTACAGTGTAATTCATCTTAATTAATCTTGATCTTGCCCCTATCTGAGAGTAAAACATAACTTATTACTTAAAAAGAATAGTTATTTGGATCTAAATTGTGTTCTTTTACTTAAAAAAATACCTTAAACTTGAGTATTTAAAATCTACCCACCTCTGGTCCCTGGTGCCTTCTCTTTTCTTTTCTATTCTCTCTCGTCTCTCTCTCTCCTGGCTGTGCTCTCTCTGTCATGTCTGTGGTTCTGGTTCTTTGCAGATGGATGTAGTCAGTGCTTTCCAGAGTGGAACTTCCTTTCAGGGGGCTCTAAGGCGGCAGGCCTCCAACTCCAGCCAACAACAGCACGATGTAACCAATGTTTCTAGCCCTTCACATGTAGCCTTTTCTACCACTACTACCACTACCACTGCCGCCAACTCCGCTTCAACTACTGTGGGGTGTGAGTGCGTGTTCTCCTTAAGTGCATGAGATTTCCTGTTCACAAAAATCTCTTCTTCTGTTTTACTCTAACATCTTTCCACTCTTCTCTCTCCTAACGTTTGACTCTATCATCCAAATGTCCCCCATGTTTTTATCTCCAAACACTCCAAACACAGTGCCACATTGTCATAACGCTTTGATGAAATGCTGTATCTATATATCTATATATATATATATTTGTATTTGTGACCAGGTGGCTTCAAGGTGTCCTCTCTGTGTCATCTTGTTTGCTGTTCGGCTTGGCTTCAGTCCTGAATTTGAAATGTTGTACTGTTACACACGATTTGCGGGGTGATGTGTTTTTTGTATTTGATATTTGACAGTTATCTTTCTATATACATGGTTTGCCAGGTTTGTCCGCAGTCTGCTCTGTGCCTTAGTAGCACCCATGGGTGTTTGTGGCAGCTCTCTTGTCCCTAGCTCGGTAAATGTTTTGAGTATACGCCCATGGTCACGGCCTAAAAGATCAATTATAACTTGAACTCTGTCTAAACTGTCAGTGGATGTCTGTCAATCAGTCGTCAATGATGATATTTTCTTCCACAGCCGCCGTTTCAGACGTCATGGAAACGCCAACTTGTCTAAAGGTGCACTGTGTAACTTTTTTGGTTGAGGGTCCATTACCTCCTTGTCTCCTTGGAGATGTTGTAGCTTTGTCCAGAATGCTCCACAATATTGCGTTAAACTTATCCGTCTCAAAAAGTAACACCAAGTCACACATCAGATCTGTGGTGAGGCAAACCTGTGCATGTTTTTTAAATGCATGGAGGATTTTTTTTTGTTTCAGATTGTCAGTTGAATGTTCAAAATAGCATTATAGAGACGAGAGCAGCCTTGTAATTATGACGACTAAAACTGAAAACGTGGTGGGGCCAGCTAAACATTAGCCAATAGATAACAAGGCTGTGTCTCTGGGCTGGCCTGCAAACACCGCATGGTCCCCTCGGAGGAGCTGGAGGAAGTGTCTGGGGTGAAGGAAGCCTGGGAGTCCCTGTTTAGACTGCTGCCCCTGTGACCCGGCCCCAGATAAGCAAAAGAGATCGGATGGAATAACAAGGCTTTATGTTATTAGGTTCTTTTTTCAGACCTGACAGTTTCGACTGCGCTCTAGCGGTCTTAGCGTCAGAATAACAGCGCCATCCTGCCTCCATTGGTTGGAAGACATCGTCAAAACCTGTATAAATCAGCTGACCGGACACATCACAACATGATGTGACCACTCGGAGGAAGACCACTCTGAGAAGTCGAAACTGTCAGTGATGAAAACAAACTCTTGGTCTGAAAAAAGATCCTAATAACATAAATTATCAGAAAACCTACCTCGTTACCTATTGGACTGTTAGGTTGTCAATCAAACTCCCTGTGTTTCTAGCGTAACTGTTGTTGGCACTCTGGGATTACACGGTTTACATTCACGTCTCACTCATTCCACATACGCAAGACGCTATTTACTCAACCATCGCAGCGGTTCTTAGAGGCTTTTTCGAACTGTAGCTTCCTCGCAATTTGCACAAAGTTTGTTGCGATGACAGACAAGAATCCACAACCAGTTCGCTGCAAAAGAATCAGTTTTTGAGGTCGCTGAAACAAGAAGAGATAGGGAAAAGGAGCAAAGCCAAACTAAGGTGATTCTTGGAGATTCCTTCCAGCGATGGTGCGAAGCAGACGAAGGCTCTAAAGACTGATGCGTTGGTCGGTAAATTACTTCTTGACAGGTAACGCAACAGCAATTCGTTCAGCAATTCTGGGCGCGCACCGACTGTAAACACGCATGATTTCTAACGTGAGGAGGAGGGGGAAGGAGGCATTTCTACTTAAAGAGCTGTGGAGTAAAGGTGTGGGGGTCACGCAGGCGAAACATTTGAAAAAGGACAAACAGTCGCTGTATTTCTCTTTCCTTGGAAAATCCTCTATTCAACCTCTAAGCCGGGGGTGTCCAAACTTTTTTCACCAAAGGCCACATATCTAAACACAGATGAAGCAGAGGGCTGATCAAGGGCCATAGACTGGTGCTGAATACAGTGAATAATTTAAATATGTGCATGTTTAACACGTTAGAATGAGTCATCATTCTTTATTCATGCTGAGATCCTTAAAACCAAACACTAAATATTAAATAATAGCTTTATCTAGGTAGACTTTCAAAAAACTTGCTGTAAAAAGTACATTTTTAATTGATACAAGGTAGTTTGGGCCAAAAAAATCACCTGAAATTGAAAATTGTTTGAGCCATAGTTTGGACGTGCCTGATCTAAGCAATAAAAACACCTGTGATCGAAAAAACGCAAGATGGATCATTTTAAAATTACTGTGAAACATTTCAGGCAAAGCAATAACATCTCCATGGAAAAAAAAAAAATCAGATGACAGACTCTCCATCAGGAAAGTTGCACAGTGCACCTTTAACATGTATTTTGGTTCACCCTTTCACTTCGTAATGACCTGCTTTTAAACTTTTATCAAATCGTGGTACCAATTACCTTTCGTACTCACATGGAGTACAGAAGTGCCGGCTTGTTGACAATCACATCATCGCTTTTTTCCAGATGCTACGAGGGTCCCACCAGCGCTACAACAACAGCTCTGTTTGTGAAATGTTTAACAGATGTAGCCAGCAAACAAGCTAATGGAACAAAAGTGAATGTAAACACACGGGAGAATGCGACCAGGGCTAACTCTAACTTTTCCCTTGTCAAAACAGGTGACCGAGAAGATTTGAAGATTTTAAACTAACTGAATTTCTTTTTCAGGTCTTGGATGTTTTGTTTTTGTGAATTTGTGTGTCAGAAGATTGTGTCCCGTGTAAAATAAAACCAAAAATTAAAAAAATTGTTCCCACTGACGCCCCATATTCTCCTTTAGATTCTGTGAAATGTGTCATGGGCTATACTCAAAGGTTTACTACCATTGAAAATCAAGGTAGTGCTGCGCTCTGCATGGGTTCAAAGTCCTCAGTCTCGTTTGTGATTTTCTCTTGTGCTGTTTTTGGACCTGTACACAGCTTGTAGACATTTGCTTGGCTGCCGCAGTTTTTGTTTTTACTCCACAAACATTAGCTATAACTGACCACCACTCCTCTCTCTCTCTGTCCCTCTCTCTGTCTCTCACTCTCATCTCAAGCATGTACAAAAGTAATTAAGTCATGAAATATATAGAGTAGAAACATACTGTCAATTCCCCTCTGAAAAAAAAACAAAACATCAAACGTTAAAAATCTTTTTTGTAGGCAAGCCTTGCATAAGTATATTTTTTTCTACCAATGACTCTTTGGACCTGTGCAAAAAGTCACAGCAGTTTAAAATATCATCTAGGTCTAATAGTTTTCCTTATTAACCCGTGTTTAGTGAAATATAATAATATTAATCCTGAGGGTGGACCTGGTGACACACACTAAACAGTGATGAGTGTTTCCTGATGTTTTAAAGTGTCACTAACATCAGTGTGCTGCAGTGGACAGGGCCGAGGAGCACATAACCCGCACGTGTAGAGCTCCTCCTGGTTTAATACTGGTTTAATACTGGTTTAATACTGGTTTAATACTGGTTTAATACTGGTTTAATGCACCTGATCTGACTACTGCAGTGTGCCACTCTCTCCTGTTGTGCCCATAGAGCCCTGTATATCTTATGTATTATTATGTGACCTGACGTGTTGGCGTGGATTGGCTCTTGTAGCTCGTGTGAGTGACAGTCTGTGTGTCCGTTACAGATCCGGGTGGTGAATGCATTCCGCAGCTCCATCTCCCTCTATGAGGGGCTGGAGAAGCCCGAGTCTCGCAGCTCCATTCATAACTTCATGACTCACCCCGAGTTCAGGATCGAGGACTCGGAGCCCCACATCCCGCTCATCGATGACACAGACGCCGAGGACGACGCGCCCACCAAACGAAACTCCGCCAGCCCCCGCAACGCCACGCCCACTCCGCCCTCACCTACCCCCTCCCCCGTCTCTGCGGGCCCCCCCGCTGCACTGCCCCTCTCCCCCAACCAGAACAATAACGCCGTGGACAGTAACCACCTGCTCCCGGAGGCCCCCAAGTCGGCCACGCCCTCTGCCCCCAGCAGCCCCCTGCACAGCCTGGAGACGTCGCTCTGATGCCCCTGAGCTCCGGGGCGGGGGCAGGTGCGGCAGGTGCGGCCCTGGGCAGGAGCGGACTCGGCTGCAGACTCAGTGGAATGTAGGCGTGGTGTGGATGCTTTGGTCTTTACGTTTGGTTGTTTTCGCCGCTGCACAGGACTCCGCCCTCTTCCCTTGTTTGGCTCGGTAACACGGGGTGACTACAAACTGATTGAAAGTGACCTGTTTTTATGATATTATTATTTTAATTTTGAATGGAGCTTGAAGATCGTCTGTAAGATTCTGAACGAACCTCTGGCTTCTTTTATCTGAATGGTGTTGTATATTTATATTTCTGGCCCTCGCTCATTCTGTTCATTGGCTGTTAATATTTTGAGTTATTTATGTTTTTGGAAAAGCAGGTCTGTTTACAAAGTTTGTAGATACTTTTTTTCTGTTTGTAGGCAAAGAGCTTCCTGATGTATGATACAGACAATGGGGCAGAGTTAAATGAATGAGAGGATTATTTCAGATACTGCTGTATTTTCAGGAAAAGGGTGTTTCTATTTGAAACTTAACTATTTTTGCCTGCAAGTTTTATTTGTTATATATTTGTAGATAAATATAGAACCTTCTAGCCAAACGGATAAACACTAAGGCTTGTATAGAGAGGTCCAGCAGAGACGGGACAATACACACATTAGGACCTCTGTCCACTAACTTGCTATAAATATATTTACTTCTTCCATTCTTTGATAGTTCAATGTGCACAAAACCTTCTGCGTTCTGGTTTGTTTTCATTCGTTGTGTTCAAGGATTTCCACATGTTGAAAGGTTCATTCATTAAAAGGGACTTTCTATAGAGAACTGACCTGGGTTTTGACTTGGCACGCATCTACAAATCTACCCGTTAGTTTGGCAGAGTACAGATAGTCTTACCTTAAAGCAGGCCTTATATCGAAATGTTCTGAATAGGTTTTGGGCGTGTGTTTGGTTACGCACAAATGAAGCTTAAAAATATTTTGCCAAAATTCATAAAAGCACCAAATTGATCTATTCAAATTTTAGGTTGTCATACATTTATTTTCTTTGGCTTATCGATTTTTTTTCTGAGCAGTTTTTAGTCAAGGGCTGCACAATTTTGAAAAATAAATCATACTTACAATTGAGTTATTCTGGCCAGATTTTTTGTTTAGAGAGTGTGTACTGATACTTCGCAGTAACATCATGCTGGGGGTGTTCTACATGCATCTCTATTGGCAAATCAGACTTGAGTCACTATTTTTAGGACTTGAGACTTGACTCGATAAAATGGACTTAGATTTGAGAAGACTTGAGAAGCACTTTTAAATCTGAATTCTTTCTATTCTGACTGTAATGATTCACACTAAGATCTTGACAAGACATTTAAAAAGTAAAAATTCACTAAATATTTTTTTGTACAACTCTTACATATTCTATAAATACTCATATATAAATACACTATGACTTTTTAACTACAATTTATCTTAAAATTCATATAAATTGTAAAAATCTAAGCTATATTTGGTGCTTTTTCGGTTTAAAGACTTGAAACGACTTGAAGCTCAAAGCAGACGACTCGGACTTGACTTGGACTTATGAGCCAGCGACTCGAGACTCGACTTGGACTTGCCCGTTTTTGACTTGGGACTTGACTCGGACTTGAGGTCAAAGACTTGAGACTTGCAAAACAAAAAACACGATTACCAAGGTGGCAAAGAAAAAAAAAAAAGTTTGAAGATAATCTGAAAACGCAAGAAAAAAAACGACAATTCGAGCGTTCGTGGTCCTTTTTGATTTTCAACAAAACGGTGAGAGTGACTTCGAAGTATCAACTGTAAATATTTGAGAAAAGACTGAAACTTTAACTAATACAAGAGTTAACTTCAGGACATATTCGTAGACGTCCAAACTACAGATACAGCAAGATTTTTCCACTAAAAAGTTCAGATATTTTGTTGTTTTTTCTTTTATATTATCCAAAGTTTGATAATTACCCCAACTGTGAAGCCCTTATTTAAGATTTGTACTTTTTAATCAGTATTTTCCACATAAACGAACCATACTAAACGTGCCTTGGTCCCATTTAGAACTACAATACCATCTCAAATTCTTAATAATTACTTTTACCACACTAAGTTTTGACGAAAAGCCTCTTGACTGTTGCCTTACTGTGGGGTAGATTTGTGTGGATGCCAGCTACACGCGGACCCAGGTTTTTACGTTATTTTAATTGGTGCAATTTGTGAGCTATATTTTTTTTTATTTATTATTACTACTATTATTATTTCTTCTCCCTGCCGATTATAACTCGCCCCTGCCAATGCATGCTCTACCATTTGTTTACTCAGGCAAATAGAAAATGTGTTGCATTTTAAAGGGAATCAACTTACGGTCTCCTTTGAGTTCAATATATTCTCATAGCTGGTTGATGTCTTGTTCGAAAAAAAAGTACCTTATTTATATATTTTAGGCGAAACTAAATTAAAAGTTTTGGTAGTTCTTCTTCTCTGTTTTAGTACCAAGGCATTTCTCATTTCTTTCAACCCTGTCCACTTCACTTCTTCAATTACACACACTGCGTTTTGAGTTGTTTGTTAAGACATATTTTGACTGGAAAATTGGACATGGAGTTAGTTTAATTTTTTTTTTCCAAGAATAAAGCTTTTAGGCGAACACTGGTAACGCTCTGCACAGGGTACTTTATTTCCTACTGCGTTCCTAAATACGAAACGCGTTTTGATACGAAACCTTAAAAGAGAAATTGTACCTTTGTATTTTTATGACAATACTGATAAATGCTTTCCGCTGACTTCAACACAATTTTGGATGATTTGACACCAAACGATGTTATTCTACGAGGGGAGGGAGGGTTTTTGGCAACTAAAAAAAAGTATATTTATTGTTCTGGAAAATCATCTCAGGGTGCAAACGGTGTGAACGAGAACTGGCCTCTTTTAATATACGTTTATTTCTCACTTCACTGTTTTTGGGCTGGTGCTTGGTAGCTGCACGGGACTCCCACAGGCACTGTACCGCGAGGTTTAGATCTAAATTTAAAGACGGGTTGTGTAACTTTTCAGGCAGAGGGTCTGTCAGCTGCCGGTCGCCATGGAGACGTTGTGATTGGCCTGGAATTTTCCACAGTAAGGCGTTAAACTTGTCAATATTCTTCAATTTCAGGTGTTTTTGTGGCTAAATTACACCTTGAAAACCTCCGAGTGGGCTCGCCTCTCCACAAACCTGACCTGTAACTTGGACTTTGAGGCGTCGCTTTGATTCTCTCCATGAATAATACAGGTTTAATGCCATACTGTGGAACATTCGAGGCAAAGAAACAGCTCCAAGGAGACGATCAAGAGGCAGAAAATCCACGAGAAAAGTTATGTAGTGGACCTCGAAGTTAAAAATGGCTTGAATTATGAATATTTATCTTTAGTTTAGTTTTTTTTTTTACACATTTTGCGTTTCGAGATGTTTTCAAGGCGAAATAACGGGACAATGGAGTAAGATCTGACGTAAAATCTTACAAAATCAAAGTGTAAAACCTCCTCAAATCAAATTATATTCAAAATTCAAGCCATTTTAACTTTAATATTCGTTGTTGCAGTGTGGGTAAGAGACCACCTCCACTCACAGGAAAGGGAACAGGAAGAAGGTTCAGTAAATCGGCCGCGTCCAGGTTCTGTTGCTCTGTTTACTCCTCGAAGCCTCAAAGCCTCCTCAGCTGTCAATCAACTGAAGAGAGAAGGACCAATAGAGCGGCCTGCGTGCTCGTTTCCTATTGGCTCTCGCTCCTCAGTGGGCGGGACTACGGGAGAAAAATAGGCTGTGTTCATGTTTTTATATATTTATGTCAAAATTTCAGATGGAAAAATTTGGATTAGGTTTTGATTTAAACTAGAAATCAACCAAAAAAAATACACTTATGGAATTTAATGACTTATAATTTGACACAGTATTTCCGTTTACTTCTTTTGACCTGAGAGAGACAAATATTAAAACTTTTGTGTGTTTTTATTTCATGTAAATAGAGCCAGTAATTACAAATATTAAAACTAAACCAGGTCAAAACAAATTCTTTATCACTGAATTCTTAGCTGCTCTCCACCTTAACTTTAAAGCCGCACTGCGAAACTTCTCAGGTTGGGCGTCCGCTACCGTGGAAACGCTATTGCTTTGCCTGTAATGTTCCGCAATATTGAATTAAACTCCTATAAGATGCTTTTATTCAATTGTGGGTGTTTTAATGGCTCGAAAACAGCTTTAAAAACATTGTGAGTGGGCTCGCCTCTTCACAGATCTCACCCGTAAATTGGTCTAATGGCGTCTCCTCCTTGTTTCTACGGAGACTGAAAAGTTTAATGCCATATTCTGGATTATTGGAGGTATTATTAACAACAATTTCAGTGAAACAAGTAACCCTCTACAAGAAAAGTTACGCAGTGCAGCTTTAAACCTACAGAGGAGCTTCGAGGAGGCAAGTGAGCAGAAACTGGACGCAGCCCTTGTCTCAAATTTGTTTTTTTCCGAATGGCGCTACAACTTATCAAACATGTAGGGATGCAAACAAAGAGAAAAGAGATTCATTTTTGGAAAAGTCTGTTCCGTAGCTTCTTCCTGTCAATGGGAATGTTTTATTTTCCATCTGTTTTATGGATCGTTATTTTTTTATCTTTGAACATTTGGAAATAAAAGTTCTTCATGTCTGTTTATCTTGAGCATTTTAAATTGATATTGTGATTGGATTTACATTTGAAACTTGTCGAGTAATGTGTATGGTTTTTAAAAATAAAAATGTATTTAGCCTAACCGCAGGGGCTATGTTGTTATTTAAAATTATACTGAGAGAAGCACGAGGAGTCACGATGGTTTTGTCATTTCTCAGCTCATATAAATTAATCTTTCTCTATATTTTTTGATGATTTTTTATTCATTTTAAAGGTCCGTATATTACACAAAACCGACTTCTGTGAGCTTTTAGCCATGTTGGACTGTTGTTACTTCGTCAAAAACATGCCCAGAGTTGTGTTTTGTTTTATTCACACGTTTGAATACCGTATTTTCCGGACTATAAGTCACACCAGCCAAAAAATGAGCAATGAAGAAGAAAAAAACATATATAAGTCACACTTTTTAGGGAATTGTATTTTATAAAATCAGAGACCAGGAACCAACATTTCATCTCAAAAGGCAAATTATAGTAAAAACAATAGAACAGAGAACAACAGACTGTTAATGTAACATATGAACAGTTCTTCAGATAATTATAGCATAAACAACAGAACATAAGTTTACCAAACTCACACCAGATCTCACTCCAATCTCACTCCAAATCACTAAATCCATTTAATTCTTCATCCTCGGTGTCACTTCTGAGCAACTCCACGACCTCATCCATGATGTAAACAGAGTGTTGCTTCCTTTTCCTCTGTGTAGCTGTCATCAGACTCAGCATCAGTTCCAGTTAGAATTATTCCGGTCTTTCTGAATCCCGACAGGATGGTTTCAGTTGTCATTGAAGTTCAGGCTTTGTCGATTCATCCAGTGACTTACAGGAAAGTTGCTTGATGCGCCTGGTCGGTTACTGTGAAGCTGTGTTCTCCATCCCCACTTTCCACCAGTCCCTCACAAGTTTCTTGCTCACTCCACACTTTCTTTCTGCTGCTCGATTACTGTTTTCAGCTGAATATTTCACTACTTGCAGCAGGACAGCAGCTTTTTCTACAGGAGACATGCGCAGTAGAGCCAAGTGACAGTGGTACAGGAGAAATAGTAGTACTAGATACTGACACACAAGCCTAGAGCCTCTCACGGCTGTCAGTTTGAAAATTTTCTTATATAAGTTGTCCCAGAGTATACGTCCCAGGACCACCCAAACCATGAAAAAAAGCGTGATTTATAGTCTGAAAAATACGGTAATCCTTTAATATTAGTCTGTCTACATCTCCAAAGCTCCAAATGTTTTCACATTAACAGCTACCTTTTACCTTTTTTTTTCAATAGAGTTTGGCAATTCCATGGTTGAAATCATCCAAATGAAGCTCATGAGGCCAGCAGTTATAGGGCGAATTTGAAGCAAAGTTTCATATGAGGAGAAAACAGCGGGAAAAAACATCAGGATCACGTAGAGCAGGTGAATATGAACATTTTAAGACCAAAATATTGACGGCTACTGCAATATTCACTTCTTATTTAGTGAGTGTGCTATGTCCTATATATACATATAGTCTATTAATACAACTCAGGATACTTACTAGCACACCCTGTTCAACGTTATTATTATTAAGGTTACCATTTTTATTTTTATATTTTGAATATTTATTACACATTTGTGAAAAAGAAGAATTCTATGATAACCGGCTGGGAAAGAATAGAGACTTATTATGGATAAATCTTTTTACATGGCGTTCTAAAGTGGGCTATACATCGCATCAAGTAACACAGAACAACTCTTTACTGTGTGTTATCTTTGGATCTAACCATAAAGACACAAAAGAGTCTTTATAAACTCCACTTCACCTCAGACAATGTCACCTGCTGTTACAAGATAAGCCTATATATCACATTATTATAGTCGATATGTTTAAGATGGACATTTTTATATAATCACAAATAATTTCTGCACGAATACAAATTAAACTAGCACAGAAAATTTGTTTAAATCCTCCATAAACTTTGATTTTGACTTGTGGTTTTGGAGTTACACAGCCACGCCACTAGAGGGCAGCACGTTTCTGTTTAAGCAGCCAAAGCTCGTGTATTGGTAAGAGGTCTCACAATGTACAGCAGACTTTATAAACACAATAAAATGTTCTTTGAAAATTATGTATTTTCTGAAAAACGGGTCCCAATCCAAAATATTTATTACATTTTATCTTTTGTAATTTGCATATGAAGCTTAATTTATTTATTTTACAGATAACGTCAACTAAAATTGAATGTTACTGAATTGTAAAACATAAACACAATCGATAACACAAACTCAGTAATCATACAAAAACATGTACAAAGCATAAATAAAACTCATAAAATCAACAAATCACAAACTAAATATACTATATATGCGCGTATGTGTCCTGGGCTGCATCTCAATTCTCTTTCCTCGTTTCCTTCCTTGTTTCCTTCCTCACTTATTTCCTACATTTTCACAATCCAGTTTTAATGTTTGAACAATTTAAGGCTCATAGAAAATCAATCTTACATGGAAAACTAATTAACTACTAAAATAATTACTTATTTTAATTTTTGTGGTACTGAAAAATGTAACTGCAAGTACCAAAACCGGACTGAACTGCCAAATAAAACCACTGAGGTAACACCAAAATAATTCCACACATTTATATTATTGCTTAGTTTGTCTCTGTTTTCCTTTAATTACCATCAAAATCTGTAAATAAAAATAATTTCATTTTATTTTATTTTATAAAGACGTATTCTGTAATTATAAACAACACTTTCAAACATTATACATCTTAAAAATTGTAATAAAAATTGTTCCAAATATTTAAAAAAAAACTTGAAGGCAGCAGCAGCAGTAGTAGTAGGAGGAGGAGGAGGAATAGTAGGAATCGTAGTAATTATGTAATTTTGTAGTAGTATTAGTAGTAGTAGTAGTAGTAGTAGTAGTAGTAATAGTAGTAGTAGTAGTAGTAGTAGTATTAGTAATAGTAGTAGTAATAGTAGTAATGAAGTAATTTTGTAGTAGTAGTCCTAGTAATAGTAGTAACAGTAGTAATAGTTGTAGTAGTAGTAGTAATAGTAGTAGAAGTTTAAACATTATACATCTTAAAAGTCGGTCTAAATATTTAAAAATATATTAGAAAACCAGGCACATGTTAGTGAATGTTTTCAGAAGGAACATTATTGTACAAAAATAAATAAATAAATAATAATAATAATAATAATAATAATAATAATAATAATAATAATAATAATAATATTAATAATAATTTTTTGTTTGTTTTGTGGAGAGGAATCAAGGTGAAGGAAGCGAGGTAAGAGAAATGTGACGCGGCCCGTGACACAGCTCAGAGTGTGGGGTCCTGTGCGCGTTCGTGGAGCTACGTGGGTGATTTCCGCACATGGATCCGATTCTCCGTGCAGCTCCGGAGCCGTGACAAAGGTCTGCGGATGACAGCTCCTGCACGCCTGTGAGTACAATGTCCAAGCGCATTCCTGCAACATTTAAACCCGCACAAAGCGACGCAAAAGGCGGTTTAATGCGCTAGTTTTTTTTGCGATCATAACCGTGTGCAGTGTCCGAGTGCTCCTCCTGATCCTGCAGTGTGTCAAAGTTGTGTGTTTTTGTTTACGGTGGGCTAATTACTGCACACTTATTAAATACGGACACTACCGCTTCTACTTTGTCCCAGGACATGTCTGTTTAAGCGTTAATGTTTACCTCTTAAAACGTCAAAACAAATGCACGAAATTGAAATGAAGTTGAAATTACAGTGGTAGAGATGTCACAATAACCGAAATATCGTGATATCGTATCGTCAAAAGTCTCGAATTAATATCGTGGGCTGTCACAGTATATCGAATTAAAAGTTCCTTTGCTTAAATACGTGGTTTTATAGTAGTAACAGCTTATAAACATAGGGAACTACATATCCCATGATTCATTTCAGTGCTGACAACATGAAGAAATATGTTTTTGATTTGGATTCTTGGGATTATGACGGAAATGATTCACACCAAAATCTTGTCAAGGCATTTTTAAAGCAAAAAAACGTCCTATCTACAATTATATCAGCCTCTTCAAACTATCATAATAAATATCGTATCATGAAATGCATATTGTGATAATATAGTACCGAGAGATTTGGATACCGTTACATAGAGTGACCAAACGTCCATTGTTCACGTCCTGTCTGTTTGGTTTTTGTTTTTTTTTATAAAGTGATGCAAATGTCCGGGTTTTCATGATCTTTCATTGGGGCCATTAAACTGAGCGGCTCTCGTAGCTCTCTGCTCACTCAGAAGGAGCGAACAGACACAAACAGTTGGTCAGTTTGCAACATGCTGAAGCACAATTGCACATTTAACGATGAACTGTACAAGAAATTCCCCGCTTTCCGTCCCGGTGGAGACAAGTAGGAGGACATGTGCACAGTGTACAAAGCAGCACATATGTTTCGGTGTCCAGCTTTGCAAGGTGAGAGTAGCTCGATGTTGATTTGAAAGTTTTGCGTAAATAATCAATAACAAAGTCAAGTTTTTGTTTTTTTTTTTTGAGTGAGAGAGAAATGCTGAATAAATGCATTGTGTGTAACTAAAAAAATCTTTTGAATAACTGTGATTTCAATATTGACCAAAATAATCGTGATGATTAAAAAATGATTTTTTTTCCATAATCGAGCAGCCTTAATACCATATAGTTATCCAGAAAAGTTACATGGTGTACGTTTAAGATCACATTTAGTTTAAGGGTTTCTCAGAAGGGCTCAAAAGCAAGATTGAAACTTGAGTTTTAAATCAACTTTACATGAAATATTTGTTTATATTTCCTTATATTAGTATTAAACCCACAGGAATGCATCGCTTTAACATATAAATAGGGCTCTGTGTGATATTTGTACCAATAAGGACGGCACAGATTATAAAAAAAAAAAAAAAAAAAAAAAAAACTCTGGTTACAGATTAAATATAGTTCGGTCTTTATTTTTACGACTATACCACGAGGAACAAGCATCATTTGTGCCGCTACATGGTCAGTGCTTGCCCCTATAATCTAAAAACAAGCTACGGGAATTGGTCACACACATTTTCTCCACAAATATGAAACAATTTATATTTTATTTCGCTGTTCGTATTTTGTTTAGAGGTCAGAATGCATTGTCCAGGCTGAAGAGACCATGAGGGAGTGGTGGCTTCACGTGGGGCTCCTCTGTCTCCCCCTGGTGGCCGTTTACCTGCACATCCCCCCTCCTCAGCTCTCCCCTGCCCTCAACAAGTGGCACACGGCGGGGGGGCACTTCCACTTCAGAGGACACAAGGTTTTCTACAGAGGTAACCAGCTCTTCTCTGTGTCATCTGCTCATACATCGATATCTTCAAAGCCCCTCTGTGGGTTTATTTGAGGTCTCGTGTTTCCTCACAGCTCTAACCTCAGCGTTTTTAGACCTTAACCTATTTTGGCAGTGGTTTCCTATTTTTTTTGTTTCGAAAACCTCATAAACCTTTCTCACACTCAGCGTTTTGACTCTTGTGAACTTTATGTCAAGTTATAACGCTGTTACTTCATCAAAAACAAACCTGGTGTTGTGTTTTGTTTGTGTTTTGTCATTATTATTTAGTCTGTGCACATCTCCAAAGCTCAAAATGCCCTGATCCGCCTTGTGATGTCATGAAGCAGTGACCTTTTTACCTTTTGTTCAGTAGAGATTGCAGGGTTGAAATCCTCCCAAATGATTCGAGTGAAAGTGTATGGAGTTTAAAAACACAGTGGAGCACTACATGTATTACACATGACATAACAAGGAGGAACAGAGTGTTTTCCGACTGAGCGGAATGTGCAGGGTTTGTGTTTTAAACATGTGTGAATGAAACAAAACAAAATTCCAGGTACTGTATTTTTCGGACTATAAGTCGCAGAAGTCAAAAAATGTGTAATGAAGAAAAAACATATAGAGACCAGGAGCCAACATTTCATCTTGAAAGGCAAGTTATAGTAAAAACAGTAGAACAACAGACTGTTAACGTCACATATGAACAGTTCTTCAGACTATAACTATAACATAAACAACAGAACAGAACAAGTTTACCAAACTCTCCATCTCACTCCAAATCCACTGTGTCACTTCTGAGCAACTCCGTGACCTCCAGAGGTAAACTGTGCGTCGCTTCCTCTTCTGTAGCTGTCGTCAGACTCAGCATCAGTTCCAGTTAGAATTATTCTGGACTTTCTGAATTCCGACAGGATGGTTTCGGTTGTCACTTGAAGTTCAGATTTTGTCGATCCATCCAGTGACTTCCAGGAAAGTTACATGGTGCACCCTCCCGGTTACTGTAGAGCTGTGTGCTCCATCCCCTCTTTCCGTCAGTCCCTCACAAGTTTTTCACTCATTCCAAGCTTTGCAGAAGGACAGAGGCTCTTTCTGCGGGAAGTGACAGTGTTACAGGAGTAATAGGAGTAGCAGATACTGACACACATCTCTAGAGCCTCTCACGGCTGTCAGTGTGAAAATTTTTAATATATAAGTCGCACTGGAGTATGAAAAAAACACATACCCAAACCATGAAAAAAAGTGCAACTTATAGTCCGAAAAATACGGTATGTTTGTGAGGAAACAACATTAAGCCATATTTTATTCTTTTAAAAGTCTGAGACCATTCCAAAAGTCTTGGTCTAAAGACATTCTGCACATTACATGGCTCATGTGACTTAAAGATGCACTATCTAACTATGTAACAAGCAGGTGTCCATCACCTGCTTGTTTCTATGTTATGTCATTGCTCTGCCTGGAATGTTCCACAGTGTGACATTAAACAGCTCCACTTTACATTTATTCAATTACAGGTGGTTTTATAGCTCAAAAATACCTAGAGAAGCATTCTGACTGTGACTGACAGTCGCCTCTCCACAGATCTGACCTGTAACTTGGTCTAGTTTGGTCTCCATGAAAATAGAAAGGTTTAATGCCATACTGTAAAACATTTCAGACAAAGCAACAATATTTCCATAAGGGAAAAAAAAGCATTTGACGGACCCTCCACAAAAAAAGTTACACAATGCAGCTTTAAAATCTTGTTAATATTGTATCACTTGTAGTTTTTTGACAGATTTGTCTTGATGTAGATTCCTTTGGAGCTTTGGGGAGTTCAGACGTCGTCATTCTGCTGCACGGCTTCCCCACGTCAAGCTACGACTGGATCAAGGTGATAGACGTTTTTAGTATTAATTTTCTAGATGAAAACCTTCTCTCAGCAAGAATAATTTTTAATATTTCGTAACATTGTTTGTGTTTGTGTTGGCAGATCTGGGAGCCCCTGACTCAGCGTTTCCACCGGGTCGTCGCTCTGGACTTTCTGGGCTTTGGCTTCAGTGACAAACCAGTGAGATCTTTTAAATATTTTTATTTTTAACATCTCTGGATTTTATTGACAAGACAAATAGCAGACAGTCATTACTCAAAAACACATAACAGAACACTTTAAAAATAGTTTTAAAAAAATATGCAAAGACATGTATTGAGTGGAATGAATTTGTAAAATAGAGTAGTAGTAGTAGTAGTAGTAATAGTAGTTGTTGTAGTAGAAGGAGTAGGAGTAGTAGGAATAAGAGTAGTAGACAGTAGTAGTAGTAGTAGTAGTAGTAGTAGTAGTAGTAGTAGTAGTAGTAGTAGTAATAGTAGTAATAGTAGTTGGAGTTGAAGTAGGAGTAGTAGGAGTAAGCGTAGGACTAGTAGTAATAGTAGTAATAGTAGTAGTTGTAGTAGGAATAAGAGTAGTAGTAGTAGTAGAGGAGGAGGAGGAGGAGGAGAATAGGAGTAGTAGGAGTAGTATGAGTAAGCGTAGGACTAGTAGTAGTAATAGTAGTTGTAGTTGGAGTAGAAGTAGGAGTAGTAGGAGTAAGAGTAGGACTTGTAGAAATAGTAGTAGGAGTAGGAGTAGTAGGAATAGTAGTAGTAGTAGTAGTAGTAGCAGTAGTAGTAGTAGTAATAATTATGTAATTTTGTAGTAGGAAGTAGTAGGTAATATTAGTAGTAACAGTCAGGTAATAGTATAATAAATAATGTTCTGGGGGTTTTTTTTATGTGTATTTTTTTTTTCTCCTTAGCGTCCTCACAAATACTCCATCTTCGAGCAGGCCAGTCTGGTGGAGGCTCTGGTCTCACATTTGGGTCTGAACCAGCACAAAGTGAACCTGGTCTCCCACGACTACGGAGACACGGTGGCTCTGGAGCTGCTCTACAGGTCTGTGCCGTCATCTTTCACGTTTGGAAATCGATCAAAATCTGAAAACTTCATTCATACTCAAAGGTAGGGTTGCAACATTTTGGATAAAAATATGGTGAAAACTGAAGCAACAGGCAGGAATGTGGTAAAACTCATGAATTTAATCTGTATTTCTTCATATAAATACAGTTTGAGTACTTTTCTGTATAAATTGTGTTTCTTTTCTTGTACTCATGTGAAGTTGTAGTATTGTTTGTGCAGTTTTGGTCAGATTTTTAAGAGTTTTTTTCCACGTCAACTTTTTATTTGACTAATGGATGAATAGGACATGTCTTTAGTCGAACGAGAATTTATCCAGTCTACTTCCAGTCTTTACGATTTAATAATTTCGCCAACTCAAACAGCAATTTCTGTTTGATAATGACACACTGATTGGCCTACTCAAGTGAAATTTCTAGATGTTGAGTACTGACAACAAAAATAGGATTGCAAGAAAGAAAGTAAGGGAAATTTTCTAATAATCATGTTGTGTTTTTCTTTTTGTGAACCCAGGAGTGACCAGAATCGAAGTGGACATCTCCATTTAAACAGTCTGTGTCTGTCCAATGGAGGTAGGAGGCTTTATTTTAGTGTTATTAAAGGTGATTTATGTAACTTGATAAGAGAAAAAGACATCAAGATTTACAATTACCGGTAGCCACAACTATTGACACCATACCAAACAGAAAAATAACGATTTCCCTAGTAAACCATTGTTCCTCTAGTATGTGACCAGTTATAGAAAATCAAACTTTCTGAATGACTAAGTGAAGTTAATGTGACATAAACAGCCAGATAAAAAAAACACTATGCTTTTTTTTGAATACTAAATTGAAATGACAATGTTTTGCTTCTAAAATCGTCTCCTCTATCAATTATTTATCTGTATAAGCACAATAAAAGCAGAACTAAAGTCTGTCGGGAGTGTTTGAAGCTTCTGTGCGTTTAAATGCATTTTGTTTTCATTTTTTGCTTTACCAGGACTATTCCCAGAGACACATCACCCAAGACTATTACAAATTGTGAGTTAGATATGACTAAAACCTGTGACCCATTGATTTACATGTGATTTGTTGTATAAAAAGTTTATTCATTTTAGCTTTTTCTCTTTTGTGCATTTCTCCAAAGCTTCTCAAAGATTATAGTTTACTCTCTACAATCCTGACAAGACTAACAAACTACATGGTCTTCCAGAAAGGGTAAGTACTTAAAAGGAACTGGTCAAATAATCAGTGCAGATCACAGACTGTAAATAGGAACTGGAATATAAATAGCTGGACGCTGCGTTCCAAACAGGACGTGAACATGGGGGCACGTCCAGCTCCATCGACTCTGGCTCCGGTTCACTTTGTATTGAAAAAAAATATCACCCCTCTCTCCGAAACTGCTGCTGTCAGGCTCCTCAGTTTGGTCTTAAAGGTGCACTGTGTAACTTTTTGGCTGGGTGTCCGTCACTTGCTCGTTTCTATGGAGCCTGGAATGTTCCACAGTGTGACATTAAAGAGCTCTATCTTAGATTTATTCAGGCCTGTCCACAGATCTGACCTGTAATTCGGTCTGTTTAATGCCATACTGTGAAACATTCCAGACAAAGCGATAACGTCACCATGAAGAAAAGCATTTAATGGACGTCAGGAAGGTTACGCAATGCACCTTTTAAAATGTTCGTATTAACCCGCTCTACGTGATCCCGATGTTTTTATTTTGCTGTTTTGTCCGTAAATCAGTTCCTTTTGCTAATATGGAACTCGGCTCCAAAACTGCTCTTATAACTGCTAGCCTCGTTGAGCTCCATTTGACTGGAGCTGAACGCTTAGTCACTCACTTAGTCCACTGCTTTACACAGTCTATGGTGCAGATCTGTTAGACGACAGAGTTAACACTTTATTGATCCACAAGGGTAATTATTTGGACACAGTAGGTCACACATCATGATATATTACAATAACAAAGAGTAAAAAACTAAACTAAACTAAAAAAATCTAATTAAATATATTGTGTTTGTTTCACAGTGTTGGAGAAGTGTTTGGCCCGTACACACAGCCCACAGACGCAGAGTTCTGGGACATGTGGACCGGTCTACGCTTCAATGATGGAAACTTAGTATTAGACAGGTGAGTATTTGTAAGACCTGCTTAAGGTTAAAAGGCCCATACTACGCCAGTTTCTGATCTTTGTTTTAATGCTGTGTCCTCATCACAAACAGACCTGGAGTTGTGTTTTGTTTTTAAAAGCCTTAAAAAGGTCTTAAATTTTATGTTCCCAAATTAAGGCCTTAAAAAGTCTTAAATTATGTTGTCCAAGTCTTATTTTTTTCATAAAGGTCTTAAATTTCATTAATCTATTTTTTTGTATAATAACTGAGCTGCAGTGCAATGTTAAATGGAGGAAGGAGAAAAAAACAACAACATGAAATCACGTAATGTGAATGAACATCTAATTTGGAGTATGTGCAAACGATACTTTGTTTTCTGGCACCGGCGGCAATGAGTAAACAATCAGTAGAGCGGAGGAAGACGTTGGATGGATCATGGGGAAGTGTAGGTTTAATCTGCAGTGGCTCTTAGAGTCTAGATATAGTAAAGTAGTTGATTGGACATTATTAGAATTGATTAGAATTGGATCTGGTCTTTTTCGCCCATATAATGGGTGTGATGTTGGTCTTAATTTTCATTTATGTGGTCTTTAAAAGTGGATACCCTGTATTAGCCCGCCACTAAAAACAGTCGTACCCACTCCACAAAACACCCGAAGCAAAACTATTACTACACCAGACTGTCGATGTAAATGTCTGTGTTGTCAGAATCATTTTAGAACCGAGGATTTATGTCTGGTCAGCAGTGAGTTGTACTTCCTGATAGAAAGATTGACAGCAGCGAACTGATATCATCTAGCACCTGTCTTACCGGCAAAGTAAAATTCCACTGCTGCTGAGAAAATAGTCCCTCAATATGTGACGATTCATGCGATGCAAGGTTAGTTTTATTTCAAACATTATTCTATCAACACAGACATTTACATTGACAGTCTGGTGTAATAACAGATTTGCTTCGGGTGTTTTGTGGAGTGGGTAAGACTGTTTTTAGTGGCAGGATAACTATGGTCATTGACATGCACTAGTCTAGCACCAGCGACCTCTGCAAATACAAGGACTGGATGGAATATTTAAAAAAGTGTCTCCACACGTCTCCAACACTCTGGCTCACTAGGAAATGAGGTCCTATGTTCAAATTTCCGGGTTGACTGTCTCTTTAAACCCTGCATATTTAGACTAAGTTCTTCTCTCAAACACAAAACACTGTGTTCTTAAACTGCATACACCTTCACTAGAATCATTTGGATAATTTCAGATCTGGAATTAGTACCGATCTTTACTGAACAACAGATAAAAGGAGCTGTTAACTTGAAAACTACAGCTTCATGACATCACAAGGTGGAACAGAGCATTTTGTGCTTTGGAGACAGACTAAAAAAACAGAATTCCTCAAACATGTATGAATGAAACAAAACACAACTCCAGGTTTGTTTCGACAAGCTCACAAGAGTCCATTCTGTTTAATATATAAAAAGTTTTTATTATAATAAATAGGTAGAACTTTATTAAGGCTAATTAAGGTGCAGTTATTTGTTAGAAATGATTTATTTTCTGTTCACCGTCCTTATGTTCCAGTCTTCTCCAGTACATCAACCAGAGACTAAAGCACAGGGAGAGATGGGTGGGCGCGCTTTCTTCCACCTTGGTCCCACGTGAGTTGAATCATCCTCATATTTTTAGACGTATTTTCAAACATATAAAAGTCTGATGGAGCAGATCGTGTAGGCGGAAGGCGCAAGTGCTGAAGGTGTGCGAACAAACACTGAACTGATGCTAAGCTGATTATTTAGCTGCTCCCGGTCCATCTGTGAGCGCGGAGACGGGGGGAGGGGACACGGGACAAAATGTTGAGGGAAAAAGGTGCACCGTGTAACTTTTCTGACACTTGCTTGTCTCCGTGGAGGTGTTATTGCTTTGCCTGGAATGTTGGTCACCATTGCCTTGAACTTATCTTGGATTTTATTGTTGTTACTGGTCAAAAATACCTTGAAACATTTGTATTTGAATTTGAATTTCTTTGTTTGGAGGATAAGCCCCTTGAGATGTCTCGCCGTCTCGTTTTTAAGAAGGTCCTCATAGTTACAACAGCAAAAGCAGATAACAGTAGGGCAGACAGTCGGCTACACAAACTCAAATAAACAACAAAATCAGCACAAAAACACACGCACGCTCACTCACACTTGACACATAATAAATCAAATCTCAACAAAAACTAAGACAGAGTTCAAATATAGTCATAAAATAAAACAAGATGATCAACAAAATTCAACAAAATGATCAAAAACAATCACACAGTTTATGTAAATACTGAACCAGAGCATTTTTAAATGAAGGGACACAAGTTAATGCGCAAATCGATGAGGGAAAATCGTTAGAATCAGATGGAGCTTTTTATTTAAATGAGTGTTTACGTATTTTTTTTGACACTTGGGACAACAAAAAATACCTGATCTGCGCGACGTAAACTGTAAGAGGATCTAAATGGAATTAAATACTAGGGGTGTAACGATATTCAAGTCTCACGATACGATATCATCACGGTATGAACCTTATAGTACGATATTTATTGCGATATCGTGGGAAAGCTCACGATTAGGAATGTAACAATATCCAAATCTCTCAGTACGGCATTTTCACGATATACATCTCACGTTACGATATTTATTGCGATATTTTGTGGAGGCTAAACAGCTAAAACTGTGAATATGCTACTTTTTCAAGAGTTAATCCAAAGAACTAAGACTTAAAAGTGGTTAGAACTGTTATTTCTTCTTGTAGTCTGGACTGAAATGGAGCAAAGGATCATGGTCTATGTAGTTCCCTCTGTCTTTGCTGTTTATGCTGCACCATAACTCTTAATTTAAGCAAAGAGACTTGTAATTCGATATATTGTGATGGTCCACGATATTATTGTGAGAACATTGACGATACGATATCACGATATTTCAGTTATTGTTACATCCCTGTTAAATGCTGTTTGAGATATTCAGAGAGATTAATACATTTAAAGATAAATAATAAACAGTGAAGTTGACGTCAGGAGGACAGAGTGAGTCAGGACAGAGGGTGGAACGACTATTCTCCACAGATTTGAGCTGTAACTTGGCCTGTGATCATGACCCCTGCTCGTTTCCATGGAGATAGCTGAGCTGCAATGCTATACAGTGGAACATTCTTAGCATCTCCATGGCAACAACAAGCGCATGGCAGACCCTCCACCCCAAAAGTTACATAGTGTGTGTTTTTCTGGTGATGCTTTGAGTTTCATTTGAGGGATTTAGATCTGGTTAATAGCAGAGTTTAGACGTAATTAAAGGCGCACTGTGTAAGTTTTTTGTGCCTAGAATGTTCCACAGTATGGCCATGAACTTAATCGCCATGGAGACTCGCAAGACAAATTACAGGTTAGATTTGTGGAGAGGCGACCCCACTCACAGTGAATGTTTTTAAGATATTTTTGACCAATAAATAACACCTGTAGTTGAATAAATATAAACCACTAAATCATTGACATCTTCGTGGAGACAAACCCTCTTCAGAAAAGTTACACAGTGCACCTTTAAGTCCAGGTTAAGTCTATTTTATATCTATTTTAGACTAGTTTTCTGTTTTTAGACTCCCCCTTCTATTGAAACCAAATATTTAAGTTAAGGTTATTTGTTTATTTATCAGAGACAGTGTTCATAAAAAACAAAGGGGTAATATATTTGTGCCCGATTACAGCAATGTTTCAAATTTTCATCTGCAAAAAGGCAAAAAACTGGTACTGTGTATGAAAGCAGTAAAGTTTATAAAAGCTCATTACTTCTTCTCCTCTTTATTGTCCTTCTGTCTGTCCCTCGTTCAGTGCACATAATCTACGGACCCCTGGACCCGGTCAACCCTCACCCACACTTCATACGACTTTACCAGTAAGTCCCTCTCTGTCCTGCTTTCCTCACTGTATTTTGAAAGCCACAGTATCTAACCTTTTAGTCAAAAATAGATTCAGATAAAAGCATGTTTTTCCAGTTTTGTTGAGTTTATTGCACCATAATTCCTGCATCCTTAGGTTTGTGGAGATGCAAGTTCACTCACAATGACTTATTTGTCCAAGCGATAGGCCTCTTCCTGCTTTTTACCTTTTATGGAGCTATAATATGTTAAGTTAGAATGTTTCAAAGTATGGTTTTAACTTTCTTACCATAGAATCATGCAGGTGTTACATACTGTACCTTAAAATTAAAAAACTCATAAGACAGCAATACACAACATTTTAATAAGGGATACACCAATTCAATATTTGTACTTGATATTGAAAAATTTGCCGGATCGGAAATTGGCCTCCACATAAATAGATTTAATAAGACAATTTACTAACTTTTGTTTAATTAATTTTCATAATGTTTGGATTTTTATTTAAAGAAAGTTGTTCATTAGTTACTTGAAAGATAAATTACAGCTGTACAAGACATTTGGATCAGTTTTGTCTTATTTTACTTTATTTTATTTTATTTTAAAGTCATATCGGGTGTCAGTAGATTCTTAAAAATGTAGTATCGGTATTGGAACATTGGTGCATCTTTAATTTTAATGTCAGTTGGTCCAATAAATTGATTTTTAACAATGAAACCAAGAATATACAATCATTTAAAAACATTAAATTGCCATCTATCAACTTAAATCATTATAAATTGCAGTCCCTCACTTACGTTTTATAGATTCTCCAGGCTTTTTCAGATATTGTAACATTTGCCACACTATATATAATAGCCTGCAAATATGTATAAATATGTTTGTGTTTACATTTGCGTTACCTCGTTTGTGCAGGAAGTTGGTCCCGAGATCCACCATCACAGTGTTGGACGAACACATCAGTCATTACCCTCAGCTGGAAGACCCCCAGGGTTTCCTCAACGCCTATTTTAATTTCATTCACTCGTTCTGAATCGTCCTCTCTCTTTAAAAGTCAAAATGTGACTCAGATAATTCAGATAATTTCTAAAGATTGTGGCATGAACCAGACTCTCCAAATGCACTGATGGTTTGAAGACCTGGACTTGTGATTGTAATGAGAAAATGCTGCAAATTCTGAACAAAAAGATGATTTTCAAAAGGGGCTGTATTATGCTTTTTGCTTTTACTCAATGGCTTTAAAGATACACTGTGTAAATTTTCTGGAGAAAGGTTCGCCACCTGCTTGTTTCCATGGAGATGTAATTGCTTTGCCTGAAATGCCCCACAGTATGGCATTAAACTTATCGAGCTTGCGTTAAAATTGCTAAAAAAAAATACCTTGAAAAACTAAGTCCCCTAGTGTTGCTTCTACACCAACTTGGCATGATGTTCACCTGCTTGTCTCCATGGATATGTTTTAATGCCATACTGAGGAACATCATAGGCAAAGCAGTAACACTGAGGTACATGGAACATCTTTAATGCTTGACTAGTCTTTTTTTTTTTTTTTTTTTTTGGGGAGTGCAGCCTTAATCCATTGCAATCTTTCAAGACAGCTCTATATCAATTCCCCAAAAGTTTTCTTTGTTTGAACTTTCTCCCTGAACAGAAATGAAACTGTTCACCTACAAAAATTATTCTGAAACTGTGTGGGACTTGCCTTTGTAATAAAAAAGCGTGTTCACAGTTCAGAAAGAATTGCCTGAAAAGTTAATGTTGCATAATACAGCCCCTTCAATTCTTCACTAATGTTTGTTTTCTACAAATGACGAAATTCCCGTTTCCATAAATACATGAATGAAATTTGACATGATTTTTACATGTATGAACTGAAATGTATGGTTTAAATTGTTTCTTTTAGACCAAATAAAAATAGTTTTGTTAAAAAAAAAAAAGGACTCACATTTTTTTATATTTTAGACTTTACAGATTTATTAAGATACATCTGTTGTGAGAGACGTGAGAAATACAAAGAAAGACACAGAAGAAATAAAACATAGGACAAGTTTCACTGCTTCCTCTAGATTTTTCAGTTTCATATGCAGTATTAGCAGTATAGTTGTAGTATGGTGTTTTGTATTTGTAGCAGTGGCACAGAGTGGATCAGGTGGGTTTAACCGACAGACGCGAGGATGATGTCGACCACGGTCTCCTCTCCGCTCCGGACTGTGACCTGCATCGTCACGCCGTCAGCCAACGCCAAACGAGCTCGCACCAAAACATCGTGACCACCGCGGAACACTCCTGAGAAAAAGAGAAAGATCCTATATTACAAAAATTGTGTTTTGTTTCATTCACACATGTTCAAGTAATCCTGGATTATTAGTCTGTCTACATCTCCATGACATCACAAGGTGGTATAGGACATTTTGAACTTTGAAGTGGTAGTTTTCAAGTTAACAACTATTTTCAAGTTTTGTTCAGTAGATTTTCAACCCTGGAACTGCCATTTTCCAAATGATTCTAGTGATGATGTATGGAGTTCCAAAACACAGTGGAGCACTTCCTGTATCACCACATGACATCACAAGGTGGAACAGTGTTTACTGTTTGAGAGAAGAACTCAACCCAAATATGCAGGGTTTGTGTGTTAAACATGTGTGAATGAAACAAAACAGAACTTGGTAGGGAAGGTCTGTTTGTGTTGAGGAAACAACATTATAACATTGATCTGAAACTAGTGTAATATGGAGCCTTTAATTAATTATTAAATAATTAATGGATTATTCATTAAAAAGTTTTACTTCACTTTATATATCTCTACAGGTGTCTAGTTTGACCTTTTTCCCCACAGATTCTGAATAGATTTTACCACAGGCACTGTCCCACAAACTGAGCAACCAGTCATATGTACTTTAAACAGTTTTCTTGCCGTGATAAAAGATATAAGGTAACTAAATATTATAGATTATATTTCCACTCACCTGCGAGGAAAAGGACATGTGAGTTTTTATTTTCAGGAACTTTGTCTGAGCGTTCACACGGCTGCATGCCAAGGAAACTCACGATGTTACCAACCGCCTCTGTGAATGGAAAGGGGACATTATATCAACATTAGACAAGTGAAAATAAAATACGTACTATTAAAATGGCAGAAAAGGACAATCTTAAACTCTTACCGTCGAGAGTTCGTACAGACGCCAGAGCGAATGTTTCTTCTTTTTCAAACTCGTCCCCGACTTCTTCCCACGCGGCACCGAAGTTTGGTTTTAAAACTTTCTGAATGTGATCGGCCACAGTCACCTCCAGGTCCTCCAGCTACAACAAGACAGTTTAAGTCAGATTTTTGTTTACATATTAAAACACATTTGTTACACCAGGACATTCTTCTCAATGTGTTGTAATATTCATAGTTTTAATATCTGGTGGAAAAACATTGCACCAAACTTGTACAACTGAAATGTACTTTGGTAGATTTTTACCCACAGTAAGATCAGAAAAGTTTAATTTCATTTCAATCGTACAAGTAGATTCTTAATTTATTTTGAACTGGTATTTTTATAGTTAATAATGGACTCACTTGTAAAAGCCTAACAAAAGGCATAATAAACCTACTATATTTGATAATTATTTTATTTCACATACCACATATTCGTCGTCATATCCGTCGTCGTCTGGCTCTCCTGTGTTCGGGTCACAGTCTCTCACCAAATACTTCAAAGTGCAGCTGAACGTGCAGGAAACTGGACACAAAAAAAAATTCAATCAAATGATGTGAATATACAATCACACATCTTATACATATACTTATAAATATACTGAATAAATTGTAATCTATTTATCTATCAATTTTAGTATGTTTGTCTTGGAAAAAATCATGTGTGTTTTTAGTCAAGCGTGATGGATGAATTTAACTGATTATGGAACAAACCATTCTGCACTGGGGCACTGTAACACGTTATTTTGTAATTGTGTTTTTATATGTGTTTATTGTACATAATGTGGATGAATGAAATGTGAAATGTGGGACCTGCCTCTCAAATCTGCAAAACAAATTTCCCTACGAGTACGAATAAAGCAACCTAACCTAGCGCAAGTGACAAGTGACAGTTTCTACATGCAAATTATTGTTCAATTTCTATGTTAATGTTAAAGTAAATATCTTGTGCAGACAACTTTTAATATTGTAACAACTGAAGATGATATTATTATTATTATTATTATTATACGTACCAGCCGTGGGGTCGTCGTCTGGCAGTCGTACGAGAGTGTAGCAGGAGCCTGGTTGGCTGTACGGGAGCGAGGCAGCGGGGACGTACTGAATGACCTCGTACGACTCTGAGGGCTCCATCTGAACCACCACCTACAACAACAAAACATATAATTTTATTTATAATGAAATCAAGCCCAGAAAAAAGATTAAAAATTAGAGAGAAAGATGACTGTACAACATCAAAATCTAATTAATTAAAAATGAGGAATGCTTTACGTTACTTTAAGTTTCTGCCGATCAGAGGTGGGACCAAGTCTTTGTTTTACAAGTCTCTAAGTAAGTCAAGTCTTTGACCTCAAGTCCGAGTCAAGTCCCAAGTCAAATACAGGCAAGTCCAAGTCGAGTCTCGAGTCACTGGTTCATAAGTCCAAGTCAAGTCCAAGTCGTCTGCTTTGAGCTTCAAGTCATTTCAAGCCTTTAAACCAAAAAACTACCAAATATAACTTAGATTTCAAACTAAATTGTACTAAAATTGTAGTCATGGTATATTTATATATGCGTATTTATATAAGAGTTGTAGAAATGCTATTTTTCTCTTTTTGTCTTGACAAAATTTTGTGTGCATCATTATGATCAGAATAAAAATAATTCAGATTTAAAAGTGCAAAATAAGGTATTTTGTCATGTCCACTGAAATGGAAGAATCATGTTCTCTGTAGTTCCCTCTATTTTACTGTATTGTGCTGTATATTACTGTAGTACATTTGAGGATACCATATCACAGTACTTCAGTTACTGTTGCCATAGTAACAAACAGAAGTGGGAGGGACATGTTCCAGTTTGTTCCTGTAAAATTAAACACTACATTTATCAACTGAAAAGAGAAAAGTTTTTTTTCTAAAACATATTTTTAGGAGAAACATCAAGTCTTCTCAAGACACAGGCCTCAAGTCTGAGTCAAGTCTCAAGTCACTGACCTTCAAGTCCAAGTCGAGTCCCAAGTCTTAGTCCATGTTATCAAGTCAAGTCTCAAGTCCTAAAAATAGTGACTCAAGTCTGACTCGAGTCCAAGTCACAACTTGTAAGTCCCCACCTCTGCTGCCGATGTCCGATATTAACAGATACCGGTGCAAGGAAAGAAAAAGGCTCTTATTTCCTTAAAACACACAAAACTTATTACACAAAAGATCCAAATCTGTTATACAAAGCTCTTCAGCAGTGATCCAGTGAAAGAGGAAAAAACAGCTGCATGAGTAAAATTTCAAACATTATAAGACTTTCTTGGTCAAACTCAGCCTGTCAATAATCTTATTACAAAAGCCAGACTATCATCTTAACCGATATCAAGGAACCGATACCTGAACGAGCAAATCTTTTAGTATCTGTACATCCCTATTAAAAATAAAAACTCTAAACCCTGTACCTTTTGCAGCAGCTGGTCGTTGAGCGTGTTGGTGCAGTCGAACTGGAAAACCATGTGTCTGGAGAAAGTGTGTTTGATGCATCGGACCACGTACTCGGTCTCCGCCTCTGTGAGCTGCACCGGCTCTGAAGACTTGAACAGGGGACCCAGAGCCTGGAACTCTGGGATAGCGGACAGTTGTTCTGGAAAAGCAAAAGGAAAAACTAGAATTACAGAGGAATTATAGTAAAAATGTGAAATATGGAGGCCTGGCACAAGATATATCGCTACAGAGAAACGATAATATTGAAACTACTTTATGCCACTGACAAAATAAAAAATTATTCCAGTTTTTTTTTTAAAATACAGTATCATCAAAAAGTCTGAGCTACAACAAATAAATATCAGGATCAACCAATAATCTTAAAAGTCCTGGAAGTTACTTTTTCATCTCCCTACAGCTCAGATCTTAATGCATTACATAAAAAAATAGCAGAAACCAAAAATAAACACAAAATAAAGTCTGAAAGCAAAAGCAAAGCCTAAAAGCTGCTCCAAGCCACATACTTTTACTGACCTTGCAATTATCATTACCGTCTGAATAGTTGCACAGGCCTGGATAATAGGAGGCTGTATTGTTGACTTGTAAAGAGTTTTCAGGCCAGCGAACTTTTAAAAAATGGAAAAAAAAGAAAGTTTGGAACTGGATCTTACCTTGATAAATGTCTTGACGCGATGGTGCAAGCTTCTCTGGCAGTTTACTGGTGGCCACTGGAGCGATTTCTACAAAAAAAATCACACAAAATTATTAATAAAAACAACCTATTTCATAGTTAAAATGTCTATAAAATCTAAATATTACACATTGTTTGGACTAAATACAAAGGATTACTGAGACCTGAGATCTTGTTTTTGATGAGTAAGAACATTTTTACATGAGCACAACATAAAAATGCTGATTTATCAAAAACAGGCAGCAGAATGAGATTTAGTTTTAACCCCGTACCTGTTTTCTGTTCTGTGATGGGAGCCGTTGCCAGGGGAACGGTCTTCATGTCGAACGGTTTCTCCGAAGGTTCCAGAGTGTACTGATGCAGAGACTTCTCCAGACCAGGCACAGACACAGACAGACCTGACAAAAGGGATTTAACACATTTTTGTTATTACATGGGGCAATTAAGATTTTGCGTCTACATCACAAAAGCACGTGATCTGTTGTTTATACCACCATATTCGAGGTCAATCCATCTATCTGGACCAATGTGTAGTATTTTCGTGCGA